ACAGAATCAAAGACACCCTTGACAACACAGAACAGAAGGTACACTTGATTTAAGTCCATGGAAGTGGAACATCACAATCGAGCTAACAGCATTTCTTAAACATCCCAGAAGATGTGATATTTTTCTTGCAACATCATAAGCAGATTGGAGCTGAAATATTCAAGAAAGCATTGAGCTACCCCATAAGACTTATAGCCAAAAACGCAGGCACAAATGGCAATATCGTCATAGAAAAGGTATCTCATAATGTCAGCTCTCTAGAACCAGTCCTAACTTCCAATAAACTAAATTCTGAAATCTGCAGGTCTTATCGAACAAAAACACCATGTACGGTTACAATGCTGCAAAGAATCAATATGAAGATCTGATGTTGGCTGGTATAATCGATCCAACCAAGGTAAAACCACATGACTAATGTATTGAGCTCTCTTTGATATCTGTTTCTGCATCTCATTGTCTGGGAACTGAAACACAGGTTGTGAGATGTTGCCTGGAACACGCTTCATCAGTGGCTCAAACCTTTCTGACATCAGATTGCGTTGTAGTTGAGATCAAAGAAATCAAACCAAGACCAATCATTAATCCACCATTGCCTACTTCTTCTCCAGCTACCTCCTCCATGTTCCCTGACAGAAAATTGCCAAGATTTCCTCAAATTATGCCAAGAACTCGAAGCCACTTTCCACGGAAGTAGGAACCAGTCGTAGAAAACTGCCTTACTTTAGAAAATACTACATAACATGAGAAGTCACATTTATTGTTATCTCCAAACATTACTCAACGTGTATATATATCTCTGTATGTATGTATACACGAGGGTCTCTGAAATTGCGCTAAATGTCATAAGCTTTGGTCATATCATAAACGTGTCAATGCGAGGCTTAACTTCTTCTTCGAATCTTTTGTTTGAATTATCCCCAAAACACTAAATCTTACCATAGCTGAGAAATAACGAAGAGATATAAAGACGACAAAAGCTAAGATGGTGCTGATGATGCTAATGGATCTGATCGTCGCCGGAATCTCTCTGATGGTCGGATTAGGGTTCTTCGCTCTCATCGCTTCCATTCTCTGCTCCGTCGCCTTCTTCCACCATGCCAAAGCCGCTTCTTCTTGACCATCAAAATCAAGTAATCGAAATTTCCTCAAAAGCAAATCTTCAAACAACCCAACAATTGTTTCAAAAATTCTAACTTTTTTGAGTTCTCTGCAGAATCAATACAGAGAATTGAACATGGAAGGAGACAAAGAAGAGCTTCTCATTGCTCTCAGCTTGTACAACGAAGTGTAGTTAAAGAGAACATTGTAATCTGTGAATTTACGAAATTAAAATTTATAAAGTTTCAAACTTTTTATTTCTTGTTTCTCTGTTTGCGTATAAAAACCATTCCTTTGATCCCATCCGGGTCAGAGACGAACCCAAGCGGGCGATAAAACCCGAGAACTCGAGGCTCTGAATACAGAGCAATGTTACAGATCCCTTTCACCTGCAAATCCTCAATCAACCGCTCCATCACCGCCTTCCCAAGTCCACAGCTTTGAAACGACGGATCAACCACAACATCCCATATGATCGCGTTGAATACTCCGTCACCGGTCGCTCTCGCAAACGCCACAGGCCGCCGCGTTTTCTCGTACTCTACCCAAAGCAACGCGTCTGTGTTCTGCAACGCCACTTCGATCTTCGCCGTGTCCCGCCGTGGGAATCCGACGGCTACAAATACTGAATTCAGCTGATCTAAGTTAAGTCCTTCTGCTGTTCGACGGAGAAGAAAGCCTCTGGATTCGAGATCTTCGTCGCTGATTGAGTAGCTTGGTGGCTTTCGTTGCATTGCAGCTGGAAACGTTGCTTGTGATGATGATTGTGTGACTGCGTTTTGTGGGTTTAATGTGGACCTTAACCGGAGAGAAGCTGGAGGAGTGGAGATTGTGCCTCCGAGAAACATGGTATACACTATTTCTTGTTATGTGTCGAATTTTAGGAGCTCGATTTCATGGAATCAGACAAAAGGATGGTTTTTTTTTGTTTCCCTGAATTGAGATAACGTGTGTGTTTTGTGTGTGGCTGTGGATAAACGGAGAACCTCTCTAGTCTCTAGCTTTTACTTTTCTGTTTTTTGAGGAAATAAAATAAAATCGGATTTAAATCAGTACGAAGAAACTCGTGGCTATCAGAGACTATTGTCGTTTGGTAGTTGAGAGTCAAAGAGATACTCTTTTGGCGGGAGATATAGTAGCTTCAAACGAATCCAGAAACGGAGAGAACAAATCCTTTGTTACAATAGTTTTTGTGTTTTGTTTCAGTGATTCTCCTTGTTGTGTGATTTTTTCTAGTTCTTATTAGTAATTCTTGAGGTTATTCAAGATTTGATCATTGGGTGATGCAAACAAGCAGTTTAGTGATTGTTCTTGTGCTGTTTTGTGTTTACCATGTTTGAAGGTCTCTGGCATGTGATCAGCAGAGAATGAGTGGTTCTTTTCTATATGTTTTGCTGCATTCTTTGTCTTTCTTGCTCATCAAAGACTTCTAGAGCCACAGAGCATTTAAGTATCTCTCATGCAGTTCATGGATGGTATCCATTTGTTGATATCGGATCTTCCATTGCTTCTTTCTCGTATCTCTCTGCCTATTCAAAGATGGTTTTATATGGTAGATTGTACTGAGTTTGTTTCTAATTTGAAAAGTGAAACTATCATCTGATAGATATATCATGCTTATTTTATGGTGTTGTCCTCATTATTATAAATATCAAAGCAACCCAAACTAGAAGTTTACAGTGGCATATGGCGAGTCCAAGACTCTGATGCATTGAAGCTTGTTCTAACTCCCGAGTCCCGAACGAGCACATCTTCATTGCCATTGCTACTATTTTTGTCTCCAGTTTTGTAGCTTGTAACTAGCAGGTGATGTTTATGTTTTACTATATGTTTTTCAGCAGTGTCCATCAAAGATCTCTGCAAACCACATCCTCTTTATTTTAGAATCTGTTAGTGTTCATGCTGTTGGAGGACCCCAGGGAAAATCTAGACAGCAGAAGCCTTCATAGGACTAGAAAATCCTTGGTCTTATTTAAGATAGATCCTGTAAGTTGAAGGCGGTAGCATTATGATAGGGAGAAACGAAACGGTTTCAAGTCTGTTTTTTTCTTGTCCTTCCAGGTTCATGATGCTTTGGTGATTTTCAACAGTTTCTTAAACTTTTCAAGTAGTCAGAATTATATTCTTAAGTTCTCAATGTAACATTAAGATCTGAAACTGAGAGAGGCTAGGACTGGAAATGTTTCTGTATGTGAAGACTTTTGTTCTTGAAATTCCGAAATGGAGGAAGTTTGGGAATGTTTTTTATTCGATACGCTTGTTGGGTTTCAGATAGCTTCTCTTGTGATCCTGGAACCTATCATTAGTTAGTGACTCGGTTTCTTAGAGACATGAAATTTTATTAAAAAAACCTTACACATGTTTTGTTTTCTAATGGTACTGATTTGCAAGGCAATAATAATTGGTGGTTGTTTGTTGTACCAAGATACTGTTGCCTCATCTTTGGTTGTGCAAATGCTTTTACTAATCGTTCTTGATGTCATTGTCAACTAGGAATGGAACGTGCACAGCACATGCTATTGTTGACAGAAATGCTGGTTCGTCGCCTTTACTCGTTGAACTCGTCTGGTCCTTCAATCTTCGTGAAGGTGAAATTGGTAGACCAAGTTCAGTGTTTTATGCATTTACCAAGCAACATTCTCTCATGTATCTCACGTTTTGTGGGTCATATAATTAGGTTGGGACGGCCCATCTTTCGTTTTCAGTCTATCTGTTTATTGCTCCTACGTGCATTATGATGGATTGGAGATTACAAAAGTCGAAAGCGACCTGAGAATAACATCAACGTGAGGGTCTTCCTCTTCTGGAAAGTTGCCAGCTATGTTCTTTTTTGTTCTCATTTATTGTGCCTCATTAAGCTTAATACTTTGCATTTGCAATGATTATCTAAAGCTCAATTGATATATTCACCATCTTTTTGTTTTCCAGGATCAAAACCTGATCTTGGTATATCAAAGGGCTGATAAAGCTATCGGTTCAATTGCTTTTGTAAGGATTTGTCTCTATTTTTTGTTAATGTGCTATTTCTCTAATTACAGTATAATTTTCTGGCACCGTTTCCTAAACTGTTTCTTGAGCTACTATAAATGCGATTGTTTTTTTCTTATAGATAACATGTCATGTTTGTTTTAACTTCCTCTGATGAATAAGAGTGTATTTACTGTTACAAATGGTACCGTTTCCCAAACTGTTTCCTGAGCTACTATAAATGCAGTTATTGTTCTTCTAATGATAGTTAATTTTCTCTGTTGGGTACTACTTGTATTTACTGTTACAAATGGTTCTCAACTGTGTTGACAACGTGGGAAAGAAATCAGAACAGTTTCATTTCTGATATTTTTCTAATGACTCACTTTCCTGATGTGCAACTAGTTTCTTAAGAAGTGGTTACAAAGACTTTGTAGTAATAGAAAATGACAGATTTTTGAATGATTGCAATTTGTTGTTTTGTAAAAGAATCATGTGAAGCTCTTGAAAGTAGCACAAATTTTTGTAAGCAAGCAAAGCTCTGCTGTTAGCTACTTGGGCCACACATCATAGACACCATATTGGCAACCTTAGAAACTCCTGTTTTGTCATCAATCACTTTGTCCTCTACCATGAGCGTTTCTTTTTTCTCGGAAAAAGATTATAACTAATGCTTGCTTTTCAATTGCTAAAGATTGGTTACAGTTGAGTATTAACCAGGAAATGTTTGTTTTCTTCTAAGAATCACCCTCTTGAATCTTGATGGCTCCTGTGTTGAACATGCAGATCAGGATATGCTCTGTTTTGTGTTAGATGGAAGTCTCTGAAGAACAAGGTACATATTATATAACAGGGTTCCAACGGAGAACCGTGGAGATAACTTATTTAGGACAGCTTCTACAAAAAAACATATTCCGGCAAAAGAAACAATGCAACTACCTACACATGGCTTATTAAAGGCAAACAACACGATTGGTGAGCCCTTTGAAACGTCTCTCTTCACTACAGGATTTGGATTCTTTGTGAACCCCCATATCTTCTTCTCTTATTCGCCATGAGTTTTATTTGGTTTTGCTCACCTTGCCTCTACTCTGGACACGACTAGCTGCACTTGTTCTTGTTCTAGCTTTGAGGTCTGATTTTTCTCCTTCGTTGCTCAATGTTTTCTCTGTGTGTTGGCGTTTTTGAAGGTAGACTTGTTTAGTACCATTCTTCCTAGCTGCATGTTTGTTGATGTTCTTTGGAAGCTGATTGCTAGGCCCCGAGGATGCATCAGAAGCCATGGAATCATCACTCTCTTCATCACCTCCATCATCACTATTGTGGCCAATATCGTTCTCATAGCCATCATCAGCCTCTTTTACCAGTGTATCATCATCATCATCATCATCATCGACAACAACAGATGAATGGTCATTTCGCTGGAAGGCTTCTTCTATGTACATAGTCCACCCTGACTCACAACTGCTGTATTCCTCCTCTTCAGAGCCTCCATGGTTCCTCGGAGACTCCATGGCTTCGAGCAACGGAAAGAGGAAAACAAAAAACAAGGTCTCAAAATTAGCATATACACACACACAAAGATCACTTGCTTTTCTAGTGACGTACCTTATGTGATTCAATCCACTTCACCAATATACTCTCTGATATAAGCTCTGTGTCTTTGTCTCTCATTAGCTTTGCTCTTCCATCATCAATGAAAATAAATTTCTTTTTGTGTTTTTTTGAAGTATCAAGAAAAACCGGAGCCTATAGGAAGCCTCATATAATTGAAGAGAAGAAGTAAGTTTCACCACATGGCAACCCTAGCACCATTGTTTTCACTCAATTGAAGCACTACCGGACAAAGCTCATTGCAGATATATATCAAGGGGAGGAAGGTTAGTGCCTTCTTCATTATAAAGTACTCTCTCTTATAGAATTAAAAGCCTATCCTCTTCTTTTTCAATATAAACTAAATGTACTTTTCTTTAAACAAATATTTTTGGTTCCTAACAAACCATAATCTAGTCTTAGAGTCAGGACACATCAATATCCACATAACAAGAATCAATCTTCTGAGCTCTGTCATTAGTCATGATATGTCATAGGTTATATAACTTCTTAATTGATATGTTAAGTTTTAACTTCTCTGTACTCACTATCTCTCTCTTCTCTTCTTTCTATGTATGACTCTGGCTATCTTAAATAAAAAAAGATCAGCTTTTGAGGTGGAAATCAGAAGAGACCCACATCAACAAACAAGAAGGAATAAAAGAAGCATTTACTTAATTAGGTTAAGAGCTGTTCCTCTTTCTCATTCCTTTAATACTCTTCTTCCTCCTCCAATCCTCTCTCATTTGTCTTTAAAATTGTTGCAGCCTTTTACTTCCTCTCTCATTGTATTGAAAAGGTATTACCCAACTGGATTTTCTTTGTCATTTTTGTTTTAATAGATAAGGACAAAACAAAAAGAAGTAAACAACTGTCACAAACCCAATATAAAAATAAGAGACAGAATTTAGAAATCACAAGAATAAATTGTCTTCATTGCGTTTCCTGTTTCTCTGGCGTCACCTTAAACTGTTCTTTCAATGGAGGCCCTCTTGGTGACAGCTTGCAAATCAAAGTGTGTGATGAGAGTTCATATCACAAAAGGGTTGTTTTGTTTTGACTTTGACTCTAGTTTGAATAATGTCTAAACAAAGATATTAAGCTTTGTGTGCTTTTAAAACATTTAAGTCTCATAAGTTAAAGAAAAAAAACAATTCTGAATGTGTGTTAGGATTATTTATTAGAGTTTGTACAAATCGTTAATGGCTAAAAAAAATGGAGTTGGACTCGTTGGATTTACTCTTGTGTGTCTCCTTCTATCAATTGCCCTACGTGTGTGTGTGACTGTGGAATGTCATTGTACGTCACTATTAAGTGTCACCGATTCATTTATTTTTTTGAAGTTTAATTTGATAAGTCACAGATTCGAAAGCATCATCGGGACAATGGCTTGACCTCATTGATAATTTTGGTTGGCAAGTCGGTGAGACAAAAGACGGAACTTGATAACAAGTGAATTAGTTTTGCGGTAAAACCGATATTCATTTTGTTGTTGGTAACTTTTAATCACTAGAACAAATTAGTGGATTAGATGATGATTGATGAGTACGTTAGTTGTTTGTTTACTTTGGCTTTTACATGTAATGTATATTTTCTTTAAAAATTTGCTCATAGATCAACTTTTTCCTAATCATTATGGATTTTTAAGAATTAATTACTTGATCATGGAAATGAAACTTAAACTTTCTCGTGCCAATTTTTTCAGATTCTGAAACATGCCCTCTATCATCCATCCACACCATTCATGTAAGTAACAAAATTCAGTCTTATTATGGAACCTTCGCAGACGACTGTTCCTATAGAATGTCAAGGTAGAAATTAGTAAATTACAAATGAGTTGAGTTCAACTAAGGACAGGTTAGAGACAACTCTTGATCCTATGTTAGAGCTTAATTAGATAGTCCCTCTATATGCGTGTGACGTCGTAAGTTACCAAATTTGGTGGGTTTGATGTGAAAACAATTAAGAAGAGATTTGATAGTATAAAAGAGAAGTTGTCGGCTGCTTTCTCCACTGACGAAATCATATTTGTGAATTTGTTAGTAATAATCACAATCCGACATTCTTTGTTTACGTATTTGTACTCTCTCTCACAGCTGTACCCATTTTCACCAACCAACTCAATCTTTTATTTTCTTCTTTTTTAAAAGAAATTATTTCTACCTACTTACAATATCCAAGAAACAAAACAATTTTCACCAACTCTATTAACCTTTAGTCTCAACATTATTAATTTGTAGAGGTTATACTGTAATAGCATTCTTTATTTGCTCTTACAAATTAAAGTAAAGTCAAGTGGATACTCTTTTTAACTTTCTACCCATTTTTAAGGGTTGACTTTAACGAAGACGAAGAACAAGAAGTGATAAACAGAAATAATGTTACGCCAATTTTTTTCTGCAGGATCTTGACTTGATGGATCTGAAGCTCTTGAGTCGGGATTGGGATCATGAGTCTTACCCTGCTTCTTCTGATTTATGGGTCATCATCTTCTTTGCTCCCTTCTTCCTTTTTCTTCGCTTAATCCTCGACAGATTCATATTCGAGGTAATCGACTAGATTCTGTTTGTTTTCTATCTCTTAGTATTCATTATGACTTGGGAAGCAAGTAATCTCTCATGAGAACTATCTGAGAGGTTCATAATTAAACTATAGAGGGTCGCTAGAAGACTGGTAGTTCCTAGAGGACACTGTGGTGATTCAAACGAGAGAAGAAAGAAGATAGTGAAATTCAAAGAATCGGCTTGGAAATGTTTGTGCTCTTTCTCTGTTGAAGCTCTTGCTCTCTACGTCACCTATAAGGAGCCATGGTTTAAAGACACAAGATGCTTCTGGTTAGGACCAGGGGACCAGATATGGCCTGACCAAAAGATAAAGTAAGAATAAACTTAACTTACTGTGTTACGTGAGAGGCAAGACACTGTCAACTATGCCGCAACCCTAATAATACCGTTTTTTTCTCAGGTTGAAAATGAAGGGAATGTATATGTTTGTAGGAGGGCTGAATGTATATGCCTTTTTTGCTTTGTTTTTTTGGGAAACAAGACGATCTGATTTCAAAGTCATGTTAGTTCATCACATTGTAACTTCATTCCTCATCATCTTGTCTTACGTTTTCAGGTACTCCTATACTAATATTATAAGATAGTAACGACCAAAATTTACTTGAGTCCATCAGACTCTTAACTTTAACTTCCTCGATCTTTACTAGATTTGCTCGTATTGGTTCTGTAATATTTGCTCTTCACGAAATCAGCGACGTGTTTCTAGAGATAGGCAAGATGTGCAAATACAGCGGCGCAGAAGCCATGACTAGTGTCTCGTTTGTTCTATTCTTCTTGTCATGGACCGCTTTGAGACTCATCTATTACCCTTTCTGGATCTTATGGAGCACCAGGTTCATACTCTAAACCCTGACCCCTCAGCTCTATACATAAAGAATGCAATGTTCTTGGATCTATATGATCTTTTTGGTTGATCTCTACGTATATATGGACCTATATGCAGCTATGAATCAATAAAAGTGAAAATGGAGTACTGGGACAAGAAGCATTTGATGGAAACTGGACCAAACCTTATGGTCTTCTACTATGTCTTCAACACACTTCTTTATTGCTTACAGATTCTTCACATCTACTGGTGGATCTTGATATGTCGTGTGCTCATCAGCCAAATTCGTGCCAAAGGCAAAGTCGCTAAAGACATTCGTTCTGGTTAGATTTATATATGCATACATATCTAACCCAACAACTTAGGATTACATTCTTTGTGAAATTCTACATTGCACGGAATTTTTTGCTTTAACCAATTTGTCTTCAATTATTCTTTTTGCAGATTCTGAAGGTGAAGATGATGAACACCACGACTGATTTAAGCATCAGTGATGTCAACCTAATAACAAAATCATCGTTATTTTATGTGTGGTTTCTATGATCAAGCTGTGACCATTAGCCATCCCAATTGATTAGCGAAGTGTAACATTTGATAATCAATATTATCTACTTCATACGGTTTTATAAATGCAAAGAGCTAGGACATAAGTAATTCATGATCAAATAAAATAAATTAACTGTTGCCATTTCTGAAGATATCTTCTTTCTCTTTGGAAGTAAACACCAATTACAAGATTCGATAAATAATCTCATTAGATTGCTCATCCTTTTTCTAAACCAAATCTATTGGGCTCACAATGTTGTTGAAGCCCTATTTTAAGTCTTTTAATTGGAAATATGATTCCTAAAGAAAGATAAGATAATTAATGAGTCCACTAAGAGAGCTTGTGGGCTGTGGCGTCATAGTGGAGTTGAAATCGAACTCTATCGACGTAACAAAAGTTGGAAAATCCATAATATATTCGGAACATATTTGTAAACAACGTCACGGTGTTACATAACCAGAACTTTTTTCTACACAACCAAAAAAAAAAAACTCTAGATTTGAAACACAATCAGACTCTATGCTTGTTTTAGAGTTAGATCAACTGTGCTTTTTTTTTTTTAATGATTTTCTTTTACGTAGTAAATTTTCTTATATGAAACTAAGAAGATATTTTAGAAATTCAGGATAATCTTGAGATTAAATCCTTTAACAAAAAAAAAAAGAGAAGGATACCTTCAGATTATGGAGCAATGTTTTTAGTCTACGAGAATAATTCGTAACAAATATTGCATAATCTTATAGATTTTTTTTTTTGTTAAATGCATAATCTTATAGATAGGATCTTATAATTAGAGATAAGTATAAAATTTTGAGAAAATAAAATATAGACATTAAAGAATTATACAGTATTCAACCTTTTTAGATGACCCAACAAAAATATTCAAATTGAACGTAATTAGATAGGTAATTAAATAAATATTAAAAATGTAGACGAACGGCCCCATGAACGGCTCACTTTATTTTTATTTTCATAATCAATCATTAAGCTTTCTTAAATTAGGGAAATGCCGAAAGGCAGAAAGGTAGTCATATTTTGTATTTATGTCTGCCCTTTTTAATTCATATGATTCACTTTATTTTTAAGTTTTGTTTTATTATTACCTATGTTTCACTTTATTATTTTTAAAAGTCCACAAGAAACAAATTACACATTTATGAGGATTAAATGAAAAAAACTGTGTTTTCTACTCATTAATGAATTAGAAGAGTGGGGAGCCACATGAAAAACAAGTGAACCTACTCGTGAAATAAAGATTTAAAAAAAAAACACTTGGGTCGTGAAGAGAGCATGTGAGTGTTGTTAGTGTACGAACTACGAAGTCAGAGAGAACCAAATTGCACTCAACAACATGTGGATCCTCGTCACATTCACTCATAAGTCATAAGCCTATGAACTACACCCTCTACGGCTCTACAGCAGTACAGCTTCTTGCCTTTTTATTTATTTCCCATTTTCTTCCAAGTTGTGTTGAGTTCACTGCTTTAGTTACATAATGAATACAGAAAAAAATGATACAAAACTAGATTGATTAGTATCATATGGTTTCTCCAATTTTGTAGATAAAAATTATTATATAAATAATTAATACATTAACAAAACATACGGCAATGAAGAGTAAATGAAAATTTGACAAATGTTTATAGAAATGTCAATTGTTTACTTTTTTCACATGCCTTAATTTCACAAGTAATAAATTACCATTTGTCAAACGAATATTCAACATATTCATCTCTTTACAAATTAAATAAAACATAAATATGATATTCTAAAATTCTCATTAAGTAATTGAAAATTTATCTCTATAGACTCTTTATTTATTTATTTTAAATTTTTAGATTCATATACAATGCGACGATAAACACAATTTATAATTTATCTCTATCTAATAAATCACAAGTCAATTCACAAAAAACTGCCACATTCTCCTTCTGACACCTGTCATAAGTCCCATTTTTTCACCTTTCAGAATTGTAACACAAAAAACTTTATTATTAAATTGAAAAAAATTACGACAAAAAAAAATTCAACTGCTCGCTTTTTTCCACAATCTATATTCCCCACTTCATCACCTCACCAATGAAAATCTGCCACATAAACTTTTTGATTTAAAAAAATTAAAAAAGCAAATTTAAAACAGAGCAAACTATTTATTCTCCGATTAATATGCAAAGAAAAAAAAAATGGGTTTCATCGATCTCTAAATTGTTTCTACTCTCAAGCCACGATCTCCACCTCCTTCTCATCCAATAACTGAATAAAACCTTCTCATACAATAACATGAACCGCTTAGGATCCAATATAAATAAACCTTCTCCATTAGTAAAATAGTTTAATCCCTTTCACACTTTTCAGTTTTCCACTAATCCAACGAAACAAATTTCTTCTCTTTCTTTTTTTCTGCAGAAAGACAAATCTTCCTTATAAATTCTAGAATGCTTGCAATGGTCTTCACATTCAAAACTTTGTCTTCACATCATTCATTGTCTATAACAATTCTTTGAATTCATCACCAACGAGTTTTCAGATAATGATATATGCAGAATTATGTACGTCGAACATCTTGCAAATGATCAACTGGATCGTGGCCGTAAAGTTTAAAGTCGTATCGGGAAGAGGTTGATACTTTGTGGTCAAATTGGAGAGATTCAACAAAATTTAATGATTTTGAGGCATGGCTTTCAGAAACTTGGTGGAAGTTTTTTAGCAAATTCTTGGTAAGTGAATTCAATCAAGCATCAATTGTTAATATTTAGGTTTTTTCAATTTTGATTTTTTATTTAATTCGCTGTAAACTAATCGTTACCAGATCTTCCCATGACGAGCCTCTTTCTCGAGTCGCACTAGAATAGAAGGTCAAAAAGGCTGAAAACACTATGCCTCATAAATAAATAGAAGAAGAGTGAGGAAGCAAGTTAAAGAAGAGGAATAAACGAGGAGAGTCTGAACCTTTTGTCCATTCAGAGGTTTACAAATACAAAAATTTGCATTTTGTTTTCAATTATTTAGTGAACAAAATAATTCCTCTGATCTATTTTTTTTTTAATTTTGTTGAGTGTTTTGTAAATTTATATTTTAATCGGGATTTTGCATATTACAAAATGAATTACTTTACTTTACCAAGTAATATTGTGACATGTATTAAAGTATCAATCAATTCACAAATAATTTGTAGTTCTTAACCAATTTTTTTAATTCACTTTATAAAATTTCAATTCAGAAATTTTTAAATATTATCTAAAAACAGAAAAATATTTAGGACTTTTAGATAGGCTTTTAGATATTATACGAATCCATTTTTATTTTGAAATAATTTATTCTATGATATTTCTATGGTATCTATCAACTTCAATCTTTGGAAGAAGAAAACAATTATATCTCAATTAAAATTAATAAATTATACATCCAAATGTGTTTAAGAAATCTGATTAATTGTTATCGAAAGTGTTGCAACATAGTGAAATTACATTTCAAAGAAGTTGATGATAAGGTACAATTTTGTGGGTCTTTCTAAAGTCTCATTAAAATCTATGATTTCATGATCAATGTTAAGATTTACTTAGAAGAAGGATAAGTGATTAGACTGATATAGAGCTTTGTGGTGCTATTACATCATAGTTTTTACCATCCGTAATGTTTGGTATTATAAGAGACAAACAAGTAACCACATAAAATAATAATTTTTGTTTCTACTTAGCTTAAGAATCTATAATATATATATATATACATATATATTAAAAAAAACTAATCTCTATTTAGGCCGTGCAAGGCACGGGCCATTACACTAGTTGGTTAATAATATCAATGTCATTAAAAATTTATTTAGATAAAAACAAATCGAACGGAAAAATAGGAAGAGGCAATGAAAAGTATTAAATTGGTTCTCATTCATTCTACTCTCCTCTCAAAGTTACCTCGTGGGTCTTCTGAGATCCTTTTCCCAGATTCTCTAGAAATCGCTCTCCCCGATAAAGAAGAAGCTCTCAGAAAATTCCTCTCTCTCTCTCTAATTCCCCATTATTTGTTTCTGTGTTAAATTGAATTGCGACTTAACTCTGCTAAAGTGATAAGTCCCGATTCGCAGTAATACCGAGATTTTTCTGTGTGAGTGCCATACAAACTCCGAGAAATCGGCTCAAGTTTCGATTTTGGTTTCTGGGTTTTACCTTTTTCACCAATCTGTTTGTGTTTTTTTTTGTTCTGGGTGTTGTTGTTATAGAACAGTTTGATCGTTTCTTCTTGATGGTTTTTTTTTGGATTCGTTTCTAGCTTTCGCTTGTATGACTGCATTTTGATGATAATTTCATATCCGCTACTTTCGTTAACGTTATATTGCGATTAGAGTGTTGCGTTTATCTTAGTCTGCTTCACTCATTCCTCCATGGGTTTAAGAGTAAATATCACTGTTCCTTTAAAATGTTCCGTACAATTCAGTCTTGCTATTTGTGTTTTGGCTCTCTTAGCTTTGGTCTCTCCATGTTCCCAGCTTAAAATTCTGTCTTCTTAATGAAAATGTATTTTTTTTTTGCAGATTATTGTTCATCATGGGTCAAGACAGCAATGGAATCGAGTTTCACCAGAAGAGACATGGTCTCTTGAAGGATCAAGTCCAATTGGTTAAGAGAAGAGACTCTGTTCGGTATGAAATAGTGCCAATTCAAGATCGGTTGTCATTTGAGAAGGGCTTCTTTGCTGTTATCCGTGCGTGTCAATTGCTTTCTCAGAAGAATGATGGGATCATATTGGTTGGGGTTGCTGGACCTTCTGGTGCTGGAAAGACTGTATTTACCGAGAAGATACTCAATTTTCTGCCAAGTGTTGCTGTCATATCAATGGACAACTATAATGATGCTAGTCGGATTGTTGATGGAAACTTTGATGGTAAGACTTTTAGTCTTTATATTTTTTTTTTCATGAAAGTTTCAGGAGGAATGAACTCCTATGACACATTGTTTTGAAACTTGAAGAATCTTGCTGCTGACGAACCTTATGTTTCGAAACTTAGATCCACGGTTAACGGACTATGACACATTGCTCAAGAATCTTGAAGATTTAAAGGAAGGAAAGCAGGTTGAGGTTCCCATTTATGATTTTAAGTCCAGCTCTCGTATTGGATACAGGTAATGGATGACGTGGTTGTACAGTTTCCATTTGCTGATTCAGTCATCATTTTGTACTTTATCTAAATAAATAACCACTTGGTGTCCATTGTCACAAAAGTTTGATATAACATTCACATCAGCATGGTTTTTGGTTATTCCACTGAAGACCTTGTGTTTAATGCCATGCTTTAATTTTGCTAGGACCCTTGATGTCCCAGCTTCTCGGATTGTGATTATTGAAGGAATCTATGCTTTGAGTGAAAAACTGCGTCCTTTATTGGATCTTCGTGTGTCTGTTACTGGTGGAGTTCATTTCGACCTTGTTAAACGGGTTCTCCGTGATATACAACGTGCAGGTCAACAGCCAGAGGAGATTATCCATCAGATATCTGAAACAGTTTGTCCTCATTTCTTTTATCTCCTGTGGCTGTTATTGGTTTATATATGAGCTGCCGATTGTTAATAGTAACAACTTCACTGTTTATGCAGGTATACCCGATGTACAAAGCTTTCATAGAGCCAGATCTCCAGACTGCTCAAATCAAAATCATTAATAAATTCAACCCCTTCACTGGTTTTCAGAGCCCGACTTACATCTTGAAGGTTTGAAAAATGACCTGATTTGTCTATCCATTTTATAATATTAATCAGTGCTCTGCAATCTCAGTATTCAACAATTGACTGCGTTTGGTAAACTGAATTTCTTTTACTATTACTTTGTTGTAGTCAAGAAAGGATGTATCTGTTGATCAGATCAAGGCGGTCCTGTCTGATGGACATACAGAGACCAAGGAAGAGACCTATGATATATATCTTCTTCCTCCGGGTGAAGATCCAGAGTCGTGCCAATCATATTTGAGGATGCGGAATAAAGATGGAAAGTACAGCCTTATGTTTGAGGTTTGTTCAGAGTTTTCTTTCCAAGTTCTCATCAGTATGACTTTCAATTTCTGGAAAAGCTGACAATCCTCTGATTCTGTAAATGGTAAGATGCTTAATATCTGGTGAGTAACTGTAGTTCTGGTTTTGACAACCAGGAATGGGTTACGGATACTCCTTTTGTCATATCCCCAAGGATTACTTTTGAAGTCAGTGTTCGCCTACTTGGTGGGCTCATGGCATTGGGATACACAATAGCAACTATACTTAAAAGGAACAGTCATGTCTTTGCTACTGATAAGGTGTTTGTGAAAATCGATTGGCTTGAGCAACTGAATCGTCACTACATGCAGGTCTGTCTATCTAAACTCATTCACCATCATTTGCTAGAAAATTGATAGTTCATCTGGCTTTATGATGACACCTTTTTTCCCAATTACTATGGAAAATTTCCCCCAAAACAATATGACTACAACATTCAAATTTTGTTATATTTAGGTGCAAGGTAAAGATCGGCAACTTGTACAGAGTACTGCAGAGCAGCTAGGATTGGAAGGATCATTCATTCCACGCACCTATATTGAACAGATCCAATTGGAAAAACTAATAAATGAAGTAATGGTATGTTTTTCTGTTCGGGTCTATGAATTTTGTTTTGATTTCATTTTATCTTGGGTCCTGATTAAAAGTCCCATCGCAGGCCCTACCAGATGATCTAAAGAACAAGCTTAGCTTAGATGAGGATTTGGTGTCTAGTTCAAGCCCTAAGGAAGCACTCTTACGAGCGTCTGCAGATAGAGTAGCCATGAGAAATAAGAACCTCAAAAGGTACACTTCTTTTGAGGAGTGTATGAGAAAGCTTTGTTACTTCCAACCCATGTGTCCTTAGTTATGCCATTTGTTATACACAGAGGCATGTCACACTCATATTCAACCCAAAGAGATAAGAATCTGTCGAAGCTTGCTGGTTATTCTTCAAGCGATAGGAGGTACGAAGAAAGAAATCACGACTCGCCAGCGAACGAGGTTCAAATTTGTTCTCTTTCATTCCCTCTTGGCAACTTTGAAGTCTTCCTTTTAACTTAAGGGTGCATTCCTTCTTCTATTTTTGCAACTATTTTTAGGGGTTTATGACTCAGCTTTCAGAACAAATATCATCTCTCAACGAGAGAATGGATGAGTTCACAAGTCGGATCGAAGAGCTAAATTCAAAGTTGAGCTGCAACAAAAACTCTCCAACACAGCAGAGCTTGTCAATCCAAACTGAAGTCTGCAATGGGTCAGCTCCTACTTCGTATTTCATTTCTGGTCTGGACAATGGCTGCCTGACAAATTCCATAATGCCCCATTCATCATCATCCTCCCAATTAGCCAAGGATTCACCATTAATGGAAGAGGTAAGTAACCTCACACATCCCTCGTTTATGAATTTGGATTTTATTGCATTGCTTTGTATCAACGAGCTGCTCTGTTTCTGGTGCAACCAGATATCAACCATTTCACGTGGACAACGTCAAGTCATGCATCAGTTGGATAATTTGTGCAATCTGATGAGGGAAAGCTCAGCGGAAAGGTCACGCCTAGCAAGAACAGGGAGCAGCAATAGCAGTAACAGAGGCAGATCAAGCAAAAGCTCCTTCTTGTCCAATGTGGAATCTAAGAAGCTCCCTCTCATGTTAACCGTGGCTTTTTGCAGCATAGGTATCGTAGTGATCAAGAGCTACATTAACAAGCGGCAATAACATCTATTAACCACTATGGATCTTCTCTTCTTTTTTGTTCTTTTCTTTTGGTATTTTTCTCACTGGAGGCGTTTTGTGAGCTTCCCTGGTTTCTCTACGTAGACAATGACGCCAGTTCTCTTCCCCTAAATTAGTCGTTTGGAAGACATTCTCGATTAATTTATTCAATAAAGTCTAGTTTTTAGTTTAGCAGTCACTTCTTTGGGACAAGGATCAACACAAGACCTGTATGCAGTGTCTTACTCATTCAGAGGAAAAATCAAGAGTTGTTCGACACTGGTTTAGATATATCACAACTTTCATTACACCAAAATCCAAATAAAGTACCACCAATGAAGCGAGTCTTCAAAGTGGCAATTGCAATATACAACCCATGAAAATTGATCAACGATCTAGACCAAGAGAACAATATGATGCAACCACTTGATTTTACATTGGGTTGAATGTTGTTTCTTTCATCATAGGTGATGATGACCGATGATCTGAGTTCATGAATTCTTTTTATCCATTATATATGCATATAGACATCACCACCTACTTTAGAAGTACTACATATATGTTCCACCATAATTGCTCAAACCATGTTTGGATTCTCCAATGGAGCTGCAAAAATAGGAGCTGAACAGAGATCCTGATTCCCATCATATAGCCTTGTCCAACCAAGCTGGTAATCTCAACGAAGATTTCATTCCGAGTCTTGTGAGGAAGATCGAGTATAGGAGATGCAGCAACAACACAAAGAATCCACTGTTTAGCAACAGCTGTTGAGAATCAAAGCAAAGGGGGTTCTCACTTCTCAGCTTCTTTTATTAATTTTCCAAGATAAACAGAGACACGTGGGATAGAGATATTGCGTACCACTGTCCCAAATATCATATAAATGAGGCTCATTGAAGGCATTATGTTCAGTCCCATGGCCGTGAAAACATAAGAGAGAGAGGCGTGGATGTTAATTGTGATCTGCAGCAACAATGCAGTGGTGGTATTATTTCTACAAGAGTTTCTTTGGGTGAAAAAGAGTGATATGTTTTTGAGGGAAAGAGGCAGCTTACCACAGCAAGAATGTTTTCTCTTATTAAGAAGGATGATGTCAGAACATAGCCTATGAGACCCAATGCTCGAACCTGCGTGGGAGGAAACACAATAATACAAGTAAACAAGGAGAGATAAGGAAATGTGAATCGCAGGAAGCAAACATTTCACCATTGTGCACACGAAAATCGAGAGACGCCAGCTTGCCCCCATCCTGAGAGCAGAAGATATTGCAATAAAATAAACAACTGAGATATTTTCTTCAAGAGTAAAGACAGGAAATAGTAAGGTGTATGTTTTTGTTGCGGTGGAGAACTAGAAAATGTGCAAGATAAAGAGGAGTGTATGAAATCACATACCTCCACAATGATCCCAGTGCAAGCCCCACAAGACCATGAGTAAGCTACAAAAATAAATCTCCACAAGTTAAGCAATGGTCAAGTAATAAAGAAATAAGAATAAGTATCAGGAGATAAAACTCTGCTTGAGTAAACTAGCAAAGCGGAGGCTTACAAAGTAAGTTAATGCTTTGACCGGACCTGATAATATGAACAATAGCATGACAGTAGCAACCTGAAGAAACCAACAAACAAACAAACACCACAAAGACTTGAAGCACAAATCCACAAAAAGACTTGAAATTCTATTAATGTGAGAAAGAAGAATGTTGTTCACAAACCATTGTCTTCCTGCCACCAGCAATATTCCATCTTATAGAAGAAATCACAATTGGTAGTGAGAAGAAACACCCAAAGTAATTCTGCGTTCAAAATGTAACTCATACTCATTATAAAAGGAACAAGTATGAAAAGTTTATCACACTAACAATCAAACACAAAAAAAAAAAGACCCGATGATTTTCACACATCCTTTGTTTCCAAAGTCGACATATTTTTTTTGCAATGCCTTGTATGAAAAATAAGATCAAACTTCCCTCAATTATGTATAAATGCAACACATATCAGTTCTAATGGGAATTATAGAAGTTAGAGAAAAATATGAATTAAGAACCTCAATGGCGAGAGAATTGCTGAGAAAGTAAACAAGGCCAGTGACAGCAGCGAACATGGCACACTCCACTAATCTCAGCGTTTTCTGGTAAACCACTTCATCTCCTTCCTCCGCCGAAGCGTAATTTCTCTCGGATTCTTCTTTCTTCCCATCCTCTTGATTACCATAAATCGAAGCACCAGAGACGCTCGAGAATGCGAAGCACCTTCGATGCTTAGAGATAGAAACGAGGGAGATTATGGGTCTCTGTGGAGAGAGTGACAGAGATGAAGAAAAAGAAGAAGGAAAGGAGCGTGTAGGGGTAAAACGGTAAAATTGAGAAATGGTGGACTGGTAATGAATCGTTTTGAGGAGATTCATGGAGGCGAAGAAGATGAAAAAGACGAAGAAGCGCTCTTCTCTTCTCCTCCGTCTACTTCTTAATTCTTGAGATAACTGTTCGATTGAAATTACACAAAACCGGATTTATACCAATTTAAACCGATGGTATAATCCGGTTTGATAAATGTTTCCTTTGGTTATTTGGTTGCTTCCTTCTTCTGCAACCTCTCTGACTCTCTCTATAAAGGGTTTCGACGACAAAGGTGAACTACTTAACTCCATTTCTACTGTTTCTCCGACATCCTCCTATAGCAAAGGGACAAGCGGGAAATTGAAAATTGAGGAAGCCAAAACAATTTTCAAACACTCAATTTCTTGATCCAATCTGGAATTTGAATTTCACTAGGATTCCGTCTATTAATCTCTCAATGGTGGTGGACCAAGATCAGCAATGGCTGCTGGGTTGCTTATCAGCAAGTCTTGACCCTAACCAGAACGTTCGTTCTTTCGCTGAGACTTCTCTCAATCAGGCTTCTCTTCAACCAGGTTCGTTGCTTTAAATCGTTTGGGTTACTTTCGAGCTCGTTGCTTCTCTTTTATAGATTCTTTTTGTAGTTAGATTTTACCAACTCAATCATGAATAGCCTGGGTATTGTTCTTGATGTCATAAGTTCTGATAGATGAATAAAAGAAGAAGATCACTCATAACATGTTTGTTTCTTGTAGGGTTTGGCAGTGCATTGTGCAGAGTTGCTGCTAACAAAGACCTCTCTTTGGGATTGCGTCAAATATCCTTTTCATAGAGCTTGTTGATTGATATAGTGAAGTGTTTCCCTTTTTTTTTTCGCTTGTGAAGTTCTTAATCTACTGTTACTTAGCTGCTGTACTGTTAAAGCAGTTCATTAAAAAACATTGGCGAGAGAACGAGGAGGCTTTGAATATCCTCTTGTCTCAAGTGAGGAAAAGGTACTCTCACTATCCTCTTTTATTGTTTGTTTTGGATTTCCTGCTGCGATAGTTATGCAAATGTTTAGGAAATTCTTTTGGTTATGTTATTAGGCTCTTATTCGAGGACAATTGTTGGGCTCACTTGATGACTCTCATCGAAAAATCTGTACGGCTATTAGTATGGACATATCGTCAATTGCCACATATGATTGGCCAGAAGAGTGGCCTGAGCTAGTGCCTTTTCTCCTGAAGTTGATTAGCGATCCAAGTAACACTAATGGAGGTATATTTTCGATCTATTTTGTTAGCTCTAGAGGCATACTTTATTATCAACCATTTCTGTACTCTTTCATGAGAAGAGTTACGAGGTTTCCTGAGGCTGAATTTATTTCCATATTCAACAGTTCATGGAGCTTTGAGGTGTTTGGCTCTTCTCTCTGGTGAATTGGATGACAAAGAGGTTCCTACGCTGGTACCTGTGTTGTTTCCTTGCTTGCATGCAGTCGTATCCTCTCCTCAGGTTTGTATCCTTATATTGATACGATTAGACTCATGTTGAATCACGTTTTTGGCATGTCAAGGTCTCTTAAGTGAAAATTTAAGTGACAGGCCCTTATGGACTTCACTTCTTTGTATATGTAGAGCTATGACAAGTATATTCGAGGAAAAGCCCTTTCAATTGTTTATTCATGTATATATGTTCTTGGAGCAATGAGCGGTGTGTACAAGGTATTTTTTCTTTAATAATTATTTTTGTACATACATCTTGAATGTGATTTGCTTCAGCTACTTCTGTTATCAGTTGACATATATAATGTGTTTATATTCAGATGGAAACTACTACTTTGGTGACACCTGTGCTTAAAGTTTGGATGAATCAGTTTTCACTTATATTGGAACATCCTGTGCAACGCGAGGATCCTGATGATTGGAGTTTAAGAATGGAGGTTCGTCTCATCTTGTAATTGTCTTACTTTTGTTCCCATTAAACTCCCGGAATTGTATATCGGGCCCCTGTCCCCTGTCTTTGCGTTGATTTTACCTTCTCTCATTAGGTCTTGAAGTGCTTAAATCAGTTTGTACAGAATTTCCCATCTCTCATCGAAAGTGAATTGATGGGTATGTTCTCGAGTGTGACCCATGTACCTTTTTTATTCATACATATGCATCTGAAGCATCATTATTGAAACATAATATATGTGCAGCTATTATGAGGCCATTGTGGCACACATTTGAGTCATCTCTACAAGTTTATCTTCGATCGTCAATTGATGGTGCTGAAGATTCATATGATGGAAGATATGATTCAGATGGTGAAGAAAAGAGTCTTGACACTTTTGTCATCCAGGTAACTTAATAATTTTAAGTGATCAAGGTTTGTTTTCCTTCAAGGTCTCAATTTCGAAGTTAGTCTTTTAGTTAGACCTTAGAACTGGCAACTGGGGCATTTGGTATAGATTATGGTATTTTGATGAGTTTGAGGCCAAGTGAGACTTGTTTCTGTGCAGCTATTTGAGTTTCTGTCAACTATCGTTAGCAGTAGAAGACTGGCAAAGGTTTGGTTGAAACCCTTTCAGTTTTTTTTCCCCTTCATTTGGTCATATGTTGCTTTGGAATTGGTTTCTTACGGAAATATGTTTATATCAGACCATTGCCGGTAATGTCAGAGAGTTGGTATATCAAACCGTCGCTTTCCTGCAGATTACAGAACAACAGGTAAAAGATGAATCATGCATCTTCTGCTACTCAGACATAATAGTATATATTGGTTATATTTAAAACTCGGGTGATAAGATGAATCTATCAAGGGAAGTCTTACAAAGCTAGACAGCCTATCTATATATGACGAAGTAATTGTTTTGTTGTATAATAGAACTTATCTCTTGCTATCTCAATGAATAAAGATGACCAGAAGGCTTAACCATTTTACCATAGCTCTGGAACTTCTGTTACTCTTTGTATATCCCTTATTTCCTTAGGGGTAATATCTGTTTCCAATGCATATGTTTATTTTATAGTTTAACGGTATCTGACTGTACCAAAGTCACAAACTGTTGGAACCGTTTCATTCTGTTGTTAGTATTAGTATCACAGACTGTTGGGGCAATAACAACTATTGCTGTGCCTATATATTGTTTGCCATGTAGTAATTTCATGCTGTGGTTTATGTACGCAAATTTGCTGCTAAATCTTGAAACAACAAGATTTGTAGAATCTTGAGCTAGCTGAGATACTAGATATAATATACTGTTTTTTAGCTAGCTGTCTCACCCCTTTCCATTAAATAAGGTCTCACAAAATTACACTGAATCTTTGTTGTTATTTGTGCTAGTTTCCTATTTGTTTGCTAGCATAAGTTTAATTATAAACATATATGTCTAGCATTGGAGATAAGACATGCCTTTATTCTTTATCTCATATGTAGCTTCTCTCCAGGTTCATACTTGGTCCATGGATGTAAATCAGTTTGTAGCCGATGAAGATGAGGGTAGCTACAGTTGTCGTATATCAGGTAAGCTGTCTCTCACTCTTCTTAAGTCAAAATCATATGCTTATGCATAGTCTGAGACCAGATTTGGAGGTCGTATGGATATATCAATATCCAAAATTTATAAACGTGTAACTATAAAACTACCTGCTGCACCACAGGAATTCTTTTGTTGGAGGAAGTTATCAATGCTTTTGGTAGCGAAGGGATCAATTCCGTTGTAGATGCTACCGGAAAACGGTTCCAAGAGTCTCAAGGTGAAAAGGCAGCTGGTTCTCCGTCCTGGTGGAGAGTAAGTGCTCTTAATTCTCTTTGTTATTGTATTTCTTGAAAGGTTGACTAGCCATTTTTTCTCTGATATTTTAACATTGTCACCAATTCCATGAGATTCTATCTTTTTTTCTCCCATATTCAGTTTTTATTTTTAACTTTACGACTTACTTTCATATTTTTCCATTTGTTAGATAAGAGAAGCTGTGCTCTTTGCTTTGGCTTCTCTTGCTGATCAACTTGTTGAAGCTGAGGTTTGTGTTTTCCATGGCAATTTAAAAAAACTAAAAAATTACTTAAGGTGGGAATTGGGATACATGTTATCCTTATATTATAATCTTTCAGGACTTGAGAACTGACCCTGCCAATTTAGCTAAATTTGTTGAGCAATTGATAATGGAAGATACTGGAATTGGTAGGTATTGTAAGATCTACTGCTCCAACATTACTTCTCATTTGGTATTCAAACTGTTGTACATAACTGGAGCCTTTATTTAACAGGGTATCATGAATGTCCTTTCCTTTATGCCCGCATATTTACAGCCGTTGCAAAGTTCTCTTCTGTGGTAATTTTTTTTTGTTTTGTTTTCTCCCTAAATAACTCTAATCTGGAAGACATGAATTGAATCTTTTCCACTTTAATCAGATCAACCCGGGAATCCTTGAGCACTTCCTCAATGCTGCTGTTAGAGCTATAACCATGGATGTGTATGTTTTCTACCCTTCTGCAATTCTGCTGTTTAGTATCTTTATCGTCAGAGATAAAGTTAGATACTATTATTAAACAGGCCGCCACCTGTAAAAGTAGGCGCATGTCGGGCACTTTTGCAGCTCCTACCCGATATGAACAGTTCAGTTATTCTGCCTCAGATCATGAATTTATTCTCATCTCTCACTGATCTTCTCCATCAGGTAATTTTTCTACAGACTGTGCCTTTTTAGCACACCGCGTGTGTCTATTTTACTTTTGTGTCACTCGAGATTTTATTCTTTTATTCAGGCTTCAGATGAAACTTTGGTTTTGGTACTTGAAACTCTTCAACAAGCAATTAAAGCTGGTAAGTATTCATATTTTTCCTTCTTGCAAAAAAAATTCAGAATCTAGCTATGCAGTAGTTCCCACCTATATCTTATTTTCTTTATCATTTGCTAGGCCATGAAGCATCAGCTTCAATAGAGTCGATTATCTCTCCAGTGATTCTTAATGTGTGGGTGGCACATGTTCAGATCCCTTTATGTATCGATGTAATTGACGTCCTGGAGGTAAATAGAGTGATTGTGGTTATCATTCTCTTTGTTGTTAGAAATGCAATTTGCCTAGTTTGTTTATGCTAATCTCTTACCACTGCTTATATCGTTCTAAATGAACAAAAAAATACTTTGTTTGCGGCTAATTTCTTTCCACTGGTGTCACACAGGCAATAAAGAATTCGCCTGGTTGCCTTCATCCACTGACATCAAGGATTTTACCATTCATTGGGCCAATTTTAAATAAGGTGCTGTGCGGAATCATGATTTCAAGCCTGTTTTTCCTGTCGGTTTACTATCTTTCTTCTGGTTCCTTTTAATGACATCTCTGTGGTGATAATCAGCCACATCAGCAGCCTGCAGGACTAGCGAGTGGATCCTTGGATCTTTTAACTATGCTTCTTAAGGCAAGTTATACTAGCTGGATTTTAGTACGGAATAATTTTTCTGCTAAATGGACAGTATTCTCGTTTTTTCTGACTATTTTTCTAGTCATATATAGGGTGCCCCAAGTGATATAGTGAAAACTGCATATGAATTTTGCTTTGATGCTGTCATTCGTATCATACTCCACAGTGAGGATCATGGTGAACTACAGGTGATAAAATTTTCCATTTCTAGCTTGCTTCACCTTTATCTATCGACAAAGGGTCACTTATCGCTAGCCTTTTAATTGGTCAGAATGCTACAGAATGTCTGGCAGCTTTTATATCTAGTGGAAGACAAGAGTTGCTCACTTGGAGTGGTGATCCCAGTTTACCATGAGAAGTTTGCTTGATGTAACTTCTAGGTATAGTTCTCCACTACCTTTTGTTTGGTTTATTTCACGTCCACCAAAAGCTGAAGGCCTACTATTTTTGTTTTCTTTTTGGATTTGTTAAAATGTGAATATGTTGCCGACACTTGCGCATGTGAAAAAAATATCAGTTGATTTTTGCTTATACATGGTACTCTAGTCGAATCACCTGCATTTTTCTGTTTTTTAGAGTAGCCTTCTGAATAAATATTGTGACATATCTACATTTCTTGGAATCATTTGATAAAGTATTTTGAGAACCTTGGTTTGTTTGTTCCCCAGGTTTTCCAAATGGTATCTTTTTAATTCTACATCTATTTTTGCAGTATTGATTTCTCAATGTTGGTGCAGGCTTCTTAACCCTGATCTGGAATGTTCTGGATCTCTGTTTGCTGGGAAGTACATTCTGCAGCTTATCTTGCATCTTCCATCAGAGATGGCACCCCATGTCCAAGATCTGGTTGCTGCTCTTGTAAGACGGTTGCAGTCTGCTGATATTTCGGCTTTAAAAGGCTCATTGCTGCTGATTTTTGCCAGACTGGTATTTTTCAACTTTCAGTTGGATAGTTTTAGCATATTATGGTTCCTCTCTTCTTTGTAAGATGCTTAAGGCTCCAAAAGTTCATAACCATTTTATCTCTGTCATGCGCTGTAACTATTGATTTTTGCAGGTCCATATGAGTTTTCCGAATGTCGTTCAATTTATCAATCTTCTTGTTAGCATACCGCTGAAGGCCATGAAAATTCCTTTACCTATGTTCTGACAGAATGGACTAAACAACAAGGCAAGCATCTCTATCCATGTTATCTAGTTGTATAATGCTATTTCTATACCTTATGCATCACGATGGTTTTTCTGGCTTTTCAACTTATGGTTGGTTAAGCATCTTTTCAGGGGAGATACAATCCGCATATCAAATCAAAGTCACAACTTCAGCTCTGGCCTTGCTGCTGTCCACTAGACATTCTGAATTTGCGAAGGTCAATGTCCCAGGCAGTCCGATTCAGGTCTTATGCTGTACCTAACTTTTTTTTCGTAAATTCCAATTTACTCTCAGCCTACAGAAACTTGAGTCTATTTCTTATATAGTCCAATGGTGGCATAACCACTCGCTCAAAAGCTAGATCTGCTCCTGAACAATGGACCATTATCTCTCTACCCATGAAGGTATGTTTCTGTTTGATTCCTTGGTTTAAATAATCTCAATGTACAAGCTGCAAGTCAGAATACGTATTCGTTGTGGATATACATTTCTATCTTAATCGGTCATATCCTCCTCTCATTTCATCATTCTGATGTATGTTTTCAGAAACTTTACATTATTTGGCTCTGCAGATACTGGCTTTACTAGCTGATACATTGATTGAAATGCAAGAGCAAGTTTTGAGTAGTGAAGATGAGGTGATTATGCTTCCTTGAGCTACTTTATTTTCTTTCCCGTCTTCGAATTGAGTGGAGCTTGAGATGCTAATTCTGTTCTTCGAGTAGCAGGATAGCGAATGGGAAGAAGTGCATGAAGGAGACGCTAAAGCTGAGAAAGACTTGCTACGTTCAGCTGGTGCCTCCCAATTCAGCAAACCCACATATGACCAACTTGAAGCAATGGCTCGTTTCGAGGTCTTTTTCTCTTTTACCGACTTGGCTACTATACCATTGAACCTTATCTCATCAGTGTTACCCATTGATTTGACAGAACCAAGACGATGAGGTGATGACCACCTACTTGGTACCGACCCCCTTAATGAGGTGACCTCTTATGTTCTAGATAAGTGTTGTATCTGCTCCTAATTCTCCAACTCTGTGATCTGTTTCACCAAGTCTCTTTATCTCTGCAACAAACAGATTAATCTGGCAAGTTACGTGGCTGATTTTTTGTTGAAGTTTTCGAGTGAAGATCGGCCTCTGTTTGATAATCTTTGCCAGGTTTGGTTACTATCCTCTATATAACCTATCAATTATCTTGAAACTTATATGAACCACTTGGCTTGTTTTCAAATATATGTAGGGCTTATCAAATGCGCAAAGAAACGTGATCCATATGGCACTGAACCGCTAGGCTTGGCGTCATAATTCACAATTCATGTCTCGAGTGTTGTTTTTTGTCAGTTGATTGATTCTTGGGGAGTAAAGAAGTGCTAGCATCCCTTTTGTAGAAGTGTCATTTTACACAAAGTACTGTATTAAAAAATCTTTGGAATTTTAAAGATAGAAGAAAATCCTCCAGTTTCATGTTAAACTCCACAGGAAAACCCTCAGAAATAACGTAGAATTGCGCAGGCACTCACAAAACAAAACAGCCATTAATGAAACAAATACTAAAGTCCAAAGTATAATATCAATCTTAGCCAAAGAATGGGAGTGTTTTAACAAATTTGTACAAAATCTTCCAAGTTAATAACCAAAAAAATATTCCTTTAAGAAATATGTTTGCCTAGTTTCACTACAAATATGCCTAATATTAAAATTTAATTGGTAAAAGCTTGGGTTTATCTGTTTTGATTTATATTTCTAGTATTTTCCAAAATTATTTCTCTTTTTAAGGTTGTTGTTTATGGGGTTCTTTTTTTTCCGCTTGCATATGTAATTTTACCAATTTTTAATAAAAAATTTACGATGACAAAAAAGAGAGAGAAAAAGTAACATCTTGTGCTTGAGTTAGAAACATTGCAAAATGCATTCTTGAGTACAATCTAAATAGCAATTTTAGCATACAAATTATGGTGATTTTAGAGAATATTGAAGGAGCAGCTAATAATATATTGGTTGCAAAGATTTATGTCATAATTTTATTTTAAATATACAATTGATGATTTGTTCATATATATTATATATATAATTGATGTTTGAAAATTGAAATATTCCAAAAAGTAAACACACAATTACTACAAGCTTGTAACAATTTTAACATATAAGTACAAATTGCAAAATTGTGTGGAGCTACACAATCTCACATTAACATTGAAGCCATCAAAGACAATGCATAGACCTCTAAACCTGAATTATTTGAGCAAACATGTCTCTGTGGTCAAGCCATATACAATCAACTACCTATACAATCACCAGACATCAAAGACAACAATAAGTTGCTCCATATACAATCACCATACAACTGATATTTTCACACACATAAGGATGAGGTATGCGGAGAGGATACCAACTAGTAGTCAATATGGATGGTCATGTGGAAAAACAAAAGATACAAAAAATTAGGATTTAGTTTTAATAGTTAAAGTTGTTTAAGGTTTATAAAAAAAAAATCGGATATTATCTAAACTATATATATATATATATTATATATATATATACTCAACTACCTATATAGAGGTAAGAAATTGTTTGTCAAACAGTTGCATTTGAGAAATAATACAAACTTTGTCCACACAAATTAGACAGCAATAGTAAAATTGTATTTGATGAATTCTACACTAAAGTATAATAGTAGATATAACATATACAAATCTCCAAATTTTCTAAGAATTGTAGCCCATGGAAATAATTGGGCCGGGCTCTTTTGGTTGCTAATGTCACGATGTACACGGGTAAGACAAACCCGACCCGACACAGAACAACCAGTTTCTCGTCTCCTCTTCTCAAAGGAGAAGCAAAAACACTGAAACAAAAAGCACATTCTACTTTTTGCATAGAATCGATCATCTATGGCGGTGATTAGTCCAGCTACACGTTTCGCACCGCCGCTGAACCGGCCTTTTCACCACTGTTCGTCACTAGCCTCGCTTCATTGCTCCTCTAGGAACTTTCTCTTCCTCGGAAAACTCACTCCGAGCTCGACGATCGTCGCTGTCCGGTGCCAGAAACCTGTTTCCGACGGGATTAGCTCTATGGAATCCGTGAATCATGTTGCATCTTCTGTTTCATCTTCGATCGATTTCCTAACGTTGTGTCATCGGCTCAAGGTATGTGTTGAATCATATACATTATTACCGATTCCGAAATCAAAACAAATGGATTGAGTTAACACTCTGAGATTGGCTCTCAATTTTGGAATTGGAGATCTGCTTAGTTGTATTCATTGGTCAACATTGTCAAGTAGTGAACTTTTCCTTCTTGTGTAGACAACAAAGAGAAAAGGGTGGATTAATCAGGGGATAAATGGACCTGAATCAATTGCTGATCATATGTACCGTATGGCTCTAATGGCACTTATTGCTGGTGATCTTACAGGAGTTGACAGAGAGAGGTTAGTTTTTGCCTCAATTGTTTTGACTCTCTTATTTAAATGATAGAGAAAGGCTACTAAAGATTGTACACTGCATTCTGGAAGTCCTGGTGTATACATATGATTTTCTTAGGTTTGTGATAAATAGAGCTCCGTGAGGGCTAATTTATGTACATTTCTTTTCCAAAAAGTGATTGGTTCTATCAGAATACGGGTATCTAAGAAAAAACTGAAAACGAGTTTATGGGCTAGATAGTGACTTGGACTTAATCTGGTAGAGAAATGGCATATTTCTGGAACTCATGGTGTAGTGAAAATGTTGTGGGAGTTAAATGAAAATGTTAGCAGCTAGTCAGAATTACAAAAGCTGTGCTCTGAAACAGTTTTTTTGTCTTAAACTAATTATTATGCGGCAATATTTAGGTATGCTTTTTTAAGTGTATCTGTGTATGTCATTTGAATCAGACACATTCAGAAAGTTGAATGAAGGATAAGATAGGAAGACCATCCGTAAACAGTTGATTTTTAAGTGTGATTTAGCACTTGTTGTCAAGCTATAGAAAATAAATTTCTCTGTTTTCTGGCTATAGCTTACTGGATCTTTCTCTGTCTTCCTTCTTTTCTTGGCATTTTAAACAGGTGTATAAAAATGGCAATTGTGCATGATATCGCTGAAGGTAAATACAAATTTGTTCCTACTTTTCAAATGTAAGGTTCACTATATTTCCTATCTTCACTATGTAACCTGATCTCTTCTCCTAGTTAGTTAAGCTTCGTTCAAAAAATTCTGGGTAGTTTGGAGGATACAAACTTGTATAGATTTAAATCCCTGAGTAGGGTAGGATATGTAACAGATTCACTTGGATTCGTTTATGAAATTTTAATTTCCTGTGGAGCTGGAACTAAAATGTTTTTAGAGCTGATTACTTTGGTTTCTTTCTCTCAATTTATTTATACTCTTTTTCTGCTACTTAAATCCTACAAATTGTCAAAGCCTCACCACTTACTGGCTTTTGAACAGCTATTGTTGGAGATATTACCCCATCTGATGGTGTGCCTAAGGAAGAAAAGAGTAGGAGGGAGAAAGCAGCTTTGAAAGAGATGTGTGAGGTTCTGGGTGGAGGCCTCAGAGGTATATACCGCCTCAGCTACTGTCATCTTTTTAATGTTTTGGTTTCCAAAACACTACTTGATAAGTCTAATGTCAACGTGCAGCGGAGGAGATCACAGAACTTTGGCTGGAGTATGAGAACAATGCTTCTTTAGAAGCAATATTGTAAAAGACTTTGATAAGGTGATAAATGGGTTTCAAGTTTGCAACCACCGATAGCTTTAGTTCCTGTTTGTTGTTAAGAGTTACAACTTACTTACGCAACACATATATACACTTGGGTTATACTGACTCTTGTCTCTATTACTGTTTTAGGTTGAGATGATTCTCCAGGCACTAGAATATGAAGCCGGTAAGTCTCAATCTTAATCTTTCTAATCGCTTGTGCTTGTTGTTCTACTTCCATCCCAAGAAATCTCACTTGACGTTTGAACATTGTGCCAGAACACGGGAAAGTGCTCGATGAGTTTTTCATATCAACAGCAGGTAGAGAACCCATCCCATACGCTCTTTTTAGTTTACAGTTTTAGACGTAAAGTAAAATAATCTGGTTTCATCAAATTCATTTGCTCCAATTTCAAATGCAGGCAAGTTTCAAACCGAAATTGGAAAGAGCTGGGCCGCTGAAATCAACGCTAGGAGAAAAATCCAATTGACAAACAGACAGAGATAGTATATCCAGTTGCATCATAACTTCTATCTCCCTCAACTATCAATAGTAGAATCCCCGAAACTAAGGAGACTCCTCTTAAACCAAAAGGTACAAGCTTCTAGTGAAATTTCAATTTTGTAGTGCAACGAACACACTGGTTTTTAACCTCCCTTTTGGTTGCTAGTCAAAGTAGGACCAAACTTTTAGACATTCTGGTAAACATGAATCTGAACTCAGAATATGCTTGTTAGTTGTTACTGAGAGAAGTGGATCTGAGTTTCTTATGAAAATCTTAATTCGAGGTTCCTAATCTAAGTCTGATGTAGCTGCAACCCAATTGAAACATATCACACACTCTTGTTATCATAAATGATATATATGCATTTTCTCTGACCCCACTTAAACGCGTGTGCATTGTCACTGTTAATATAGTAATGAATGTTAGAAGAGAGAGTCAACAGCTACAGAATCTTGATATATCTAACTGGAGTCACCAAATGTTGTCACGTGTATTATTCACTTTCTCTCCTTCCTCTTCTTCTTCTTCTGAAATGATTGTGGAGAAGAAGGCGTGCATTTCCTTTTCACACACAGACTGGTTTTATACACAAAGTTAGATTAAGAGCATATAAGATATGTATTTTAATCAACCGACACTATTTGTTTTTGCAAAGCAAGATCCTCCATTAGCTCCCAAGTTTGTGAAGATGGAGGATGACATGTCATGTGACAGAATTACATTACAAAAAAGTGGCAATAGAAAATGAAAAACAAAGAACATAAAAAGTCAATACTGTATAATGAAAATTGGGTTCCACATTGCCACTGTTATTTGTTTGTTGCTCTTTTCTTTTTTATCGGCATGTAAGTGATGTGGAGAATGGTCCCAAAATCGTCAATGTCCCTTTCACAAATTTTAATATCCACCAACGAGTGAACTATTATTTTTCTATTATACATACATTTTTCTGGACCAATCGTACCATATGTTATGTACTAGATATTCCAATGGTGAATTATTTACCTATACCACAAGCCACAAGGGTTACTTTATTTTTTTCACTTGCATTTTCCATTTCTTACCTTTAGTTGTATATGTATTCGCATATGCGGTTGTGTTAAGTCTATACAAATGCAAACATAGCAAGCTTGAGTCAAAAACACTATATCGTCACTCGTTAATGGTTGAAAGTTTTACTTTAAGGATTAAAGTATCCAATGTTAAATCTTTATACGATTTTTACGATTGCCATAAATATTTGAGATTTGGTAAAGATTTTTAAATCATAATACTAACATTGCCATATAAAATAAATTTTTTTTAAAAAAAGACAACTAAATTTGCTTATCGAAATCGCCAATTACCATTTTCACCAATCATATTCATATCGGAAGGTGTTCGTTTTTTAATTGGCAAAAAAAAAAAAAAACTAATTATTTTGACCATTGATTTGACGTTGTAGTAAAGCACTGTTTTTCCTTTATGATGCATTTACAAAAATATCAAAAAAAAAAAAAACAATTTGTCTTAAGTTCCTTGTGGATTTTTGTTATTTGCCTACCCGCTTGTTTGTTTGATGATGATGCGCACAATATATTTTTGATTCATCCATCATTCATCAACCAGAAAGGCTTGACAAGTTTTAAACCAAGCTGCGCAAACGCAATCTCAATGAAGTGAAACACCGAGGAAATTTACTTAGCTAGGTTTTTTAATAGCTAACTGTAGAGTTGGGTTTTGACTAGCAGAGGAAATTTTTGGTGTCGAAGGAAAAGCTCTTATTCAGATCCGAACAAGTTTGCATTTTTGTCATCTTATCAGGTAATCTCGGTTAGTTATCTGGAATTTGCATAATTGGTGATCTGGGTTTTATCTCTTTAGTGTTTGAAGCATGGTTGTCCGAATAATTTAGGGTTGACATAATAAAAACAGTGTTGAGTGATGTGTGGTTTTTAGTTGGTGAAGTTTGGTGCTTGGAGGTTACTGTCATACTCAAGTCTTGGGAATTTTTGTTTCTTCTTTTTTTTTTTAATAATTTCTCTTAGTAAAGTAAGTGACGCTGATTGTTCGATTTTCATGCTAATTCAGTTTTTGATCACAAGACTAGTGGTGAAGAAGATGTTAGAATCTGGTCTTGGGATTTAGATGACTACACCTGCACAAGCTCCTACGCAGGAGGTGTCATTGTCTCCACCATTGGCGTCCCCTCCGCCATTGTCTCAGCAGCCTCCACCAATGGCGTTGTCTCCACCTCAGCCTTCCTTTCCCGGTGATAATGCCACTTCCCCTACTAGAGAGCCCACTAATGGCAATCCACCGGATACCCCAAACACCCCAGTTCAGTCTTCTCTTCCTCCAGTATCATCACCACCTCCAGAACCTTTTCCCCCACCACCTCCACCAATTGGAGCTCCTCCTCCGGCGTCTCCAGTATCATCACCACCACCAGAACCTTCTCCCCCACCACCTACACCAACTGGAGCTCCTCCTCCTACTCCTACTACATCACCCAGCCCGCCAACAAACCCACCACCACCACCACCGGAAAGCCCTCCTTCACCACCTGCTCCAGACCCTTCAATAAATCCACCTCCGGTAAGCCCGCCTTCACCACCTGCTCCAGACCCTTCAAGAAATCCACCTCCGGTAAGCCCGCCTTCACCACCTGCTCCAGACCCTTTAAGAAATCCACCTCCGGTAAGCCCGCGTTCACCACCTGCTCCAGACCCTCCAAGAAATCCACCTCCACCACCTACATTTGACCCACCATCAGTTCTTCCTCCACGCCGTTCCCCTCCCCCACCAACCTCAGTACGTCCTCCTCCACGGCATCCTGAGCAACCTCCTGAACCACCGGGTTCTAAACGTCCTGCTCCTTCACCTCCTCCAAGTGACTCAAAACGTCCTGTGCATCCCTCACCTCCTTCTCCACCAGAGGAAATTCCTCCCAAGCCAAGTCCACCTCCCTTAACTTCTAATTCGTCTTCATCACCAACATCGCCTCCACCACCCTCAGTTTCGCCTCCTCAAATATCTGTGCCAGGTCCTGATAATCCATCTCCAGACAACCCTACTCCTTTGACAGAAAATTCCAGCAATTCTGGTATGAATACAGCAGCTGTTGTGGGTGTAAGTATTGGAGTGGCCCTAGTGCTGCTTAGTCTTATTGGAGTTATTGTCTGGTGCATAAAGAAACGAAAAAAGAGGCTCTCAACCATTGGTGGTGGCTATGCTATGCCAACACCTATGGATTCCTCCTCCCCAAGATCAGGTAAAATTTACAGGTAACCTTAATCCCATCTATTTTTATATTTTGATTATCAGTAGTTCTGGATTTTCATCTCCATATCTTTGTTATCCAGATTCAGCGCTTCTGAAGACGCAGTCATCCGCACCTCTAGTGGGAAATCGTTCTAGCAATCGAACATACTTTTCACAATCAGAGCCTGGTGGTTTTGGTCAATCGAGGGAACTGTTCTCATATGAAGAACTTGTCATAGCAACAAATGGATTCTCAGATGAAAATCTATTGGGTGAAGGTGGATTTGGTCGTGTGTATAAAGGAGTCTTACCAGATGAAAGAGTGGTTGCTGTGAAACAATTAAAAATAGGTGGAGGACAAGGTGACCGAGAGTTCAAAGCCGAGGTTGAGACCATAAGCAGGGTACATCACCGGAATTTGCTCTCTATGGTTGGATACTGCATTTCCGAGAACCGGAGATTGCTTATTTATGATTATGTCCCTAATAACAACCTTTACTTCCATCTTCACGGTAAGTGAGATTTCAAGACATATATAATCATAAACACAAGCCACAGTTACTGATACTATCTTTCTATGGTCTTTAGCCGCAGGAACTCCGGGTCTAGACTGGGCAACACGTGTTAAAATTGCTGCTGGTGCCGCTCGTGGACTAGCTTATCTCCATGAAGATTGTAGGTTGCTGTAACTCTTCCAAAATTTATTGATAAAAGTTCCCAAATCAAATTCTCTCTGGTGTTACTTTATGGTTCTTGGGGACTATATTATTTGAATGATCTTAATGGTAAAAATTTGACAGGTCATCCTCGTATCATACACAGGGACATTAAATCATCCAACATTCTCTTAGAGGATAACTTCCACGCTCTGGTATACATTCATCTGCTCTTCTGAATTTGCAAAGCTGCTGATTGATTAAGATATGGGTTTTAACAGTGTTTAAAATCTTATTCGTAGGTTTCTGACTTCGGCCTTGCAAAGCTAGCTCTCGACTGTAACACACATATTACAACTCGGGTTATGGGAACATTTGGGTAGGTGCTGGTTAAGGTCCATATGACATTGCTCATGAGGAGGAGCAAAACTTCTTTCTGTCTATGTTGCAAATCTTGCATCTAATAAACGATTGGTAATTTTTTTCAGCTACATGGCTCCTGAATATGCATCAAGTGGCAAATTAACCGAAAAATCAGATGTATTTTCCTTTGGGGTTGTTCTACTGGAGTTAATCACTGGACGTAAGCCCGTGGATACATCCCAACCTCTGGGAGATGAGAGCCTTGTTGAATGGGTATGGTATAAATAAGCATTTAAACTTTTGAGAATGGAACTGTTTCTTCAATCCAACGTTTGTGTTGAATGTTTCAGGCTCGTCCTTTGCTTAGTCATGCCATTGAAACCGAAGAGTTTACAACTTTAGCAGATCCCAAGCTAGGTAGAAACTATGTTGGTGTTGAAATGTTCAGAATGATTGAAGCAGCGGCAGCTTGTATTCGCCATTCAGCTGCAAAGAGACCTCGAATGAGTCAAGTACAGACATTTTTTTAAAAAGCCAGATTTTTCTTCTTCACTACAAATCGAATTTCACATAACAAGCTCTTAACTGAAATTTTTATACAGATTGTGAGAGCTTTCGACAGTCTAGCTGAGGAAGACCTCACCAATGGAATGAGACTAGGCGAAAGCGAAATCATCAACTCAGCTCAGCAGTCTGCAGAAATCAGATTGTTTAGAAGAATGGCTTTTGGCAGCCAAAACTACAGTACAGATTCTTTCACTCGTAATAGTAATATAAGCAAAGATGAAAACGTGTGAATATCAGAAACAAAACACATTGCAGAATATGATTTTTCCGAGAAAGAGATCTCAAAGCAGAACCTTACTTGATTAACTTCAAATTGGGATCCTCTGTTTCCTCTCTGCCGATACATGTGGATGAACATATTGCAGAGGTTAAGCATAGTGATTGTACCACAAAACATATCTCAAACTAGAACCATTTCCGATCACCCAAAAAGATTCAAACATTAATGCCGGTCCTCAGCTTCGTCTTGTCTGAATCTGAGGATAAACAAGAAGAGAAATGGGACGAGAAAAATGTTATGTCGGACACAAATGCGGATTCTATTATCTTCCTGCTGTGATGTAACACTGCTTATTAACACGTCCTCTCAATGTTACGCTAATAATAAATCAGCAAGCTTCTTTATGTTATCACCAAACTTTTCATTACGTGTGTCACCTGCCACATGATACATGATACATCCGGTCAAATGACTCGATTTGCCAAATATAAGATGAGAAAAGACCGATGCACCCTTCTCCGAACCACATTCATGTTGGGGAATAGTCTTAGAGGGAACAAGAACTTAAAAAGCTACAGTTCTTTTGACGTCCAAGATTCCTAAATATGCCGGTAAATATGTCTCGAACCCCATGTGATACTGATATACATTTCTATGTATATCATCTATCTATAGTATCTTTGTAACCTTGCAGTTTTGTGCATATCAGAGTAATGGAAGAAGATTGTGGTGCATTTGCAGCAGACTGTGTTGTCCTGTCATGTTGCTGTCAATGCCTTGTCTTACAAGTTAGTGTCTTCGTCTTCTTCAAGATCCCTCGTAAAGTTGCCAAGAAGATGAAGAAGTTTGTGAAGAGAAGATGTGGAAAAACCTTGCAACCAACAGTGGAGGATGTCAAAGAGGAGCATTGGTCTGGAAATGGGTTTGCCTTTGAAGACGGCTCATCAAGACTAAATTGCATGGAAGATATTGAAGGAATGTTGCAGGAACTGTCGATGAACAAAGGGTTCTTGTTTGGAAGCTTCTGGCGTCATGAAGATTCTTCTGACATTTTCGATTTCAAATCATAACAAAGCAGAGGTTATACTCCTCGTATTTGCTGGCCGCGTTCGTTATGTTATTCAATCAAGAATCAAGAAAAGAAGCGTTAAGGAAAACAAAAGCAAGTCTCATTATTTCTCAAAAGAAGAGAACTGTAACAAAGACAAAAAATTGTATTGTATATCTTTTATCTGCTCTTATCTAAACTGAAAATCTTCCCCTGTTTTCTAATATAATTAGATGTTTCTTGACATACAAACTCTATAAACTCTTGTTTTATGTTTACTGGTCAAGGCCGCAATAATCAGAATTTACACCCTTATGCTATACAAACCAGTTAAAGAGCCTCTGTTCTTCAGTCTTGTACCGGATCTCCTCCAGTCTACACTTTGATTAGTCTTATTTACATCCTGCAAAGTCACTAAAGCCCAAATCATCTGAGGAGATAAATATCGGTATTCATTCATCAGTTATCAAGATTCTGGCTGATGAGACCTCATGACCAATGTAGGCCTTACTGATCTCTGCCTCCCCATTTCAAAGTTCCCAGAGTTGCTGCACTGATCCTCGTATCTAAGCAGCTGTATGGTTCCATGGGACATTGGGAAAAACCTCATCTGAATAGCAGAGAAAATGAAGTAAGGCATCATTGTGGATAGCACTACAAAGAGAGTGGTGATCCAGTAAGAAGGTGCAGGCGCAAGAGCTTCAAGAAAGACCATATAGGCATCTGTAGATACTCTTATTGGAAGGGATCCGTACACCATCAGAAAAAGGTACCAAATAACAACGGATCCCCAAATGACGACATGTTGGATCAGTGTGAAGTAACTGATTGTCAAGACCATCTGCAAACTCACAACCCACACCACACATGTGTACATTGTTCCCCCTAAAATATCTCTCCCTGCGGTTTTCCCTTCATGGTTGAAAGCTTGAGATTCAAGAGAGATTTTGCAGAGAAAGAAAATGATTATTGCGCTGCAGAAGCCATGGAACATCCAGCTGAGTATCCGGCGCCAACTAAAAAGGAGATTCTGTACACCTTCTTGGTACAATACGGGGAACTGTGACAGCAAACAAAGCAAAACTTTGGTTAAGAAATTCACTTGATCGCTGAAAGATTAAGCAGTTGTTTTGATTTGAATAATTATATACCTTGAGACAAAACGGTGCAGATACATCCTGGTCGAAGATGCCCAAACAAATTACAGGAAGAGACGTGAAAAGGACACTATATAGAGATAGATACCAGTCATTGTAAGCCGGTGTCGCTGAGAATGATGTGTATGCCTCATATAAGAAGAGAGTGAAACCAAATGTGATGTTCTTGTAGAAGAAATAACAAATCTGCATATAACAACAGACAAATATTTATAAAACTAGTCAGAGTAAAAGATAATGAGACTAAAGGTCAGGGTCAATCTAAATTTGTAGATTAGACTTATACCATTTTTGCGATCCGTCTGTAACACCAGTGTCCATGGACCAGTAATAAACGCTCCAGATATCTGAACTGAGCAATGGCAATGTCGCTGGACATTACAGCCTGGAAAATTATTAGGATTAGTCAAGGAAAAAATCTTACCAATAAAAGATGAAAATAGTTGTTTTGTAATTCTTTTGCTGAACCTGCATTCCTTCCACGCCGCTGATCCCAACTCCTATATCTGCTTCCTGTAGCATTCCAACATCATTTGCGCCATCACCAATTGCCAATGTCGTCTGACCACTTCCAGTTTTGACTAGTCTTGTTACCTATGCAATATGACTGTTGAGAAAAAGCTAGCTAGCCGCTAAGTATTTGACAATTGTCATGGAAGATAGAGTAAGAACTGACCAGTGCCTTCTGTTTTGGTGATGAACGGCAGCAAATCACTGAAGCACAACCAATGGCCAGCTCAAGGAAGATGCCTTTCACATCTTCCTCCAATGCATAAGCAAGTGATTTCCCATCAATGATTAAAGCAAAAGCCTTAGCGTTTCCACCAGACGCTTTCAGCTGAGCCTTTCCACTAGTTATCTGTCGCAGTACATTTTCCTTTAAAGCCTGCAAAAAATAGCCAAATGGATTCGTTCAGCTACATAATCACTAGTAATACTGTTCCATCCCCATCATATCAGTGTTCCAGAAAATTTGTATTACCGCTGCAATGGCATCTTTCTCTCCGGATTTTTCCAACTGCTGGATTTCAGGAGTCTCCAAGTTAATTATGATCTGCTTCATGTCTCGTCTGAGCAAACTACAAGCGAAGCTGTCAAAGATATACATACACAGGTGGGTTTAGAGAGTGACTAAGATTGTATGCACAAGGCTCACGAGTAAATATAACTAGGTTGTACCACGAAAACAATACCCAATATTGATGGCAGTCTCCATCTTGTCTCCAGTCAAAACCCAAATCTTTATTCCTGCTTGAGCAAGCTTATCAATGCAATCAGGGACCTGAATAAAAGGTAAGAGAAAAAAAAAAGAATTTCAATTTTCTTGTTCGACTCTGGAAAGTTCACCAATCTTAGCTTACCCCATTTTGAAGTTTATCCTCAACAGCAGTAGCTCCAAGAAGAACCAAGTTTTTTTCAATCTTCTCTGTTACTTCATCTATCAGTGCTTCTCGATCAGCACTAACTGAATTCTTGGCTTCACTGATTCTCTCAGTGAATACCTCGTATTCATTCTCGTCGAGTTCACGATAGGCAAGTATCAAAGTTCTCAATCCAGCATCAGCATACTCGTTCACATGGTCCCGGGTTTCCTTTTCATACTTTCTACCGCTTTCGGAAAGTCTTTCAAACATGACACTGGATGATAAAAGAAGTTGAAACTAAGTTCGAAAAGAGATTTATATCTGAATTTCTAAAGTCGGGATTCATACCTGTCTGCCCCTTTACAAAGTAAAAGCAGTTTGCCATCTTGATCCTGCACTATTACTGACATTCTTTTCCTTGAGCTACTGAATTCAAGAACGTTCAGGACTTTATACAACCTGCAAAGAGAACACTTTTACAAAAGTAAGAAAGAGACAGAAGCTTATGATGGTATACAACAAATAAGAAAAGATGGACCTACCTTTCAACTCGTTCCCCAGTCACCAGGTCTAGCTCTCTGACGGATATTGTTGTTTGAGTTCGAGTGAAAAATTCAAACCCAAGCTCCCTTGCTGCAATAACAAATGCTGCCTCATCCGGTGATTCAGCCTCGTAGGAGATCTTTCCTGTATCTTCATCCACTTCAGGTATGACTGTATGACATACTGCCAGTAATTGAAAGAATTTCTGAATGACATCAGCACGCGTTTCCGCGACCCAGTTTCCATCCATTATCCTTTCATCTCTAAAGTTGAATCCTTTCACAGCCGGTTCTGCAGCAACAGCATCCTCACTATTTCCATTGCTCTGATTCACCAAAGCAGAACCTTTTCTCCTATCCATAGCCATCTCCACCTCTGTAACACCACGTCCATAGGCTGTCCCGGCAATAGAACACTTGATGAACTCCATGGAGTTACAAGTCAATGTTCCCGTCTTATCTGAAAGAATTGTACCCACTTGCCCAAGTTCTTCATTTAGATTGGAAGTACGTGCATGCGCTGGTTTGTCAACTTCCTCATAATACATATGGATATCCTGATTGATGAAGATACTCTGAAGAACTTTAACAATCTCTATCGACACATACAAGGATATAGGAATAAAATAACTGTTTAACATTAGGGCCGTTAGAAAGTGATATATTGCAGCCATAGGCGCCCTCTTTGGGTCAAAGAAGATGCTGGAATCATCCGGTTTCAGATACCATCTTTTCATTACGCCATTCTGGAAATCATCTCTCGTTGATATTCCAAATAAAACCGAACCAAAAAAAGCTAATGAAAATACCATAAGGAACATCAGGTATATAATCTTATCCATCTTCCTCTCGATCATGCTTCTCTTAGACGGAGGCTCTGTTGAATTCTGGACAACCTTTGTATCAGGTCCTGTGAAGATAACTACCCCATAGATATAGTCTGTGTTCCTGAGTTTTGATCCCCTCAGAAGAAGCTGCTGTGGTGAGAGAGGGTACTTTGCTCCCTTAAGATCCATAGTACCAACAAACGAGTATAAGTTAGCATTCGGGTCCTCGCATTTGATAAAAGCCTCAAAATCCCTGAAATTGAGCTCTTCACGCAATGACAATGTTACTTCTAGTCCTTGTTTAAGTTTCAGATTTGTTTCCCCGTCAAGGTTCATTGTCTCTACATAGCAAACAGCATCCTCGTAGCTAGAAGAAAGAAGAACAAGGTCTGCCGGAAAAAACTCGTTTTTCTCTACCCTCAATATATCCCCAACTCTTAGTGTCTTCCATTCCCTAAGATCGAAATTCCCATTGCCTCGGTGCACTCTAACTTTTCTGCTATTCACTTCAATATCCTGAAAGAATGAGAATTTCCAAATAATAATAAGTTTTTCGATCTACAAATAAAAATAGAGTGATCCAACCTAATGCAAAAGCAAGACAACTATTCAATGATATGTCAATTCCAGTTCTGATCAATGTAGCTTAATCCAACAGAGAACTACTGATTCGAAACAAGATAACAAACAATGTTTAGACACAGAGCATCCTATTAAGATCATCTAATCAAACTCTAATCAATCAACAACCACTCAGACAAAATCAATCAATCAAAGTACCTGCTGTTTCCGGCGCCAATCTTCTACACCCTCTTTAAACATAGTAGCGAGAATGACGAAAGTCAGGGGAACAATGGCGCTCACAGCAGTATAAGGCGCAAGAGGAGTAAAAGACAAGATCCCAACAACAAGGAAGTAGAAATTGGCAACTCTCCTGAACTGCTCAAACAATGATTTAGGGAGGAAAGTAGTGAGAGTATACTTAGTGGTCCTCACATAGTTGTCACAGTAGTTTCTTGATTCAGCTTCAGGGGAATCAGGTTGGTTGCAGAAAACCACACGAGAGAAACCAGATCGTCCAATTTTCGAATGGTCTGGCTTAAAACAAGCTTTAGCACCTGTTAATGTGAAAAGCTTGCTAAATTGTATCTTCCTTTTGCGTCTCCTTCCACTCACTGTCGCCATTGTCTCTCAATTCAACACCTGACTGGAAAAAAGATTCAGACTTTCAGAATCTCTAAAAAACCCTGAATAAGAAAGTTGGATTTTTTTTAGTATAAAATGCCGATTGATTTGCAAAACCTACGAGAACATATGAAAACAAAGAAACCCAGAAAACTAAATTGTTGAAAGAATGAAACTTTTTGGGGAAATGGATAAAGAGAGAAGAAGAGACGATTAAATTACCTTTGATTGTGTCAGACGTCGAAGTTTATGAGTCCTTTCACCTTTTGATTCTCCGAGAAACTGACAAATTTCTCGGAAAATCTGGTGAGGAAACAAGGAGGAGAATCTAGTGGGGGTTATATCAGAGTTTTAGATTTTGTCAAAATTTATAGCAGAAAGAAATCTCAAGAGAGAATGCAAAAATCTGTAAGAATTAAAATTGTAATCCACTATATTTGGAAACTGGGGTTTTAAATGCATGAACCAAAAGTCTTGGGGTTTTTAATGCATGAACCTAAATCTTTGAAACCAGAGTTTCAACATTTATAGACTTTTTGAATTTTTTGATTGGTTGACCTTTCCGAAAGAAGATTTCGTTTTCTAGAATCGATTTTTTTTCTCCGTATTTCCAAACGAGGAAGAAAGAAACAAAGAATAAATGCCAAGATTTTCTTGACATAATCAACATTTGACAATATTGCAAATCAATTTCCTAATTAAAAAACTATTTGACGACTGGAAAAAACATGAAAAAATCAATTGAGGTCTTCATTAGATGATGATAAATAGAAACGAAACCAATAATTGACGACTGGAATAAGAAACTAAGGTATTATTTAATTATCTCTTTTTTTTCCTTTTTGCGTGGTTTGTTGATTTGCACTAAACTTGGAAGATAAAAAGAAGAACACACGAGTGGGGGAAAATACTTAGTCCGGGACTTCTTGCATCTAGGTTCCTTGACATTGGGAGCGCCTCGGAGACTCACAGTTTTAAAGTATCCGTCTTCTCCACTGATAAAAGCTGTGGGGCACCCAGTGGTCTTGGTTTTTACATATCCGTCTACACCAAAAACCACAGCTACTTTCTCTTCCTCGTCAATGAAAAAGCTCCCAATTTCTTCGTTAAACCGAGCGGTAAACCGATCATTACTATCACTGACTAAGTGTGGTGTCATATCCACTTTCAAAAACTTGCTCCAAGACAAAGCGTTTGACTCAATCCTAGTGGTAACCCAAATCTCCAATATGACATCATGACAATCCATCTCATATAGCACTGCAAGCTGCTCTTCTCTAACACATGAGAGAGTCACTGTATCTTCATTATAAGGTTCAGATGGTCCAGACGGAAGAGGCAGCCGCGGTCCAAATCTCTCTTTTGTGAAATCAAAACAAAGTAAGAAATCTTTCCAACCGTGAGGTCCTTCTTTCTCATGAGCAAAAAAGTAGGTATTTCCATTCACAGACACGCCGCGGTGATTGAAATATACATACCAGTCGGGAGTGATCTTGAGAACCCTCCATGACTTAGAGCTCAAGTCGTAGATTTCGTACTCAAGAAGGTTTTTTTGGTCATCATCCAAAAACCTCAAGATTTTGTGGTTATGATTGATGTCGTATCCGAGAGCATATCTGTCGTGTCTGTGAAAATCTGTTCTCGGTCTAATCCTCCTTGTTTGCCCCAAATAAGGGTTCCACACCACGAGCCTCGACTTGTCCTTGAGGATGCATAACAATAAGCCGTGGCAGTGAAAGACTTTAATTATCTCGACTTGATTAAATACATCTAACTGCTTTATAGATGGATCCACCAGCTCGCCATCGGTTTTGCGGATTCCTTGGAGATCAAATCTTACTGACAAAACCCTAGAATTCCTAGTCATGAACCCCGCACCCGGCTGCCTTGCCACTGCTTTGCCCAAAACCCATTCTTTGGTTAAAGCGTTCCATAATTTGCAAGTGGATCGAACTGTTCTCAGAGATGTTATCGGAATCTTGGTGAATATTTTCCCTACCAATTCCGGTGGGAGATCGCATATCATCGTCATTCTCCAAAGTTTCGCCAAACGACGCAAAATAAATTAGGGTTTTGTCTTTTACTCTTCTTTTTATATAGAGAGCTAGGTTCCGGGAAAAAAAAAAAAAAAAAACTCTTTCCTTTCTTGCGCACGAAGAGACAAGGCAAAAAGAGGATAAAAAGTTATGCCATAAACCACAAAATAAAAGATTATATATCGTTGCCGCCACGGTTCTTGGCAATAAATACATCTACCTTATCATCGAAAGTTAACCTATCATCGCTCTTCTCTTTCTTCTAAGATTCTCCATGGCCACCACCAAAGTAAAACTTCTAGCTTCTCCTTGATACGTGCGTAGCTGTTCCTGTTTGTTCTACAAATTTAATAACTTTGTTGTGTTTCGGATTTTCAGGTTGAAGCAGCTCTTTCTGTGACCTCAAAAGATGACTCTGATGAGGTAATTAAGCACCTCATTAGTATTTTTGACTGTTTTTTCTGTATTTTCATTTAGTTACTACGGATACTTATATTGTGTGTTTGTTTATGGGTAAATAACTAGGAATTTACTGCAGTTAAACCTGCGGCTAATGATTCGTCATCCTTAGAAGATGGGAAGGTGGTAAATTTGTTCTCATACTTTTAATATATATCTTTGGTTTTCTATTGGCCTAGCTAGTTTTGTTTACTAGCATGTTGTTTTTCTTTATCATGTATATGAATTTCAAACTGGTCTCTAATTACCTCTTATTCATGAAAATAGAAAACTGCTCCTGCTACTAGCAAGGCTGCAAGCTCTGATGAAGATTCTGATGAGGTTAGTTTCTGTACTTTTATGAGATTATCAAGTTTATTCAGATATTAGCTTTATATGTACTAATACAACTTGATTTTATTTGTCCTATAATACTTTATGTTGAATCTTTTTCGAGCAACTTTTGATGTCCTGTGTTTTAGTCATTGACATTACCATGTGCATGATGTTTATTTTGGCAGGATAGTGAAGATGACAAACCTCCACAGAAAAAGGCTAAAGCAGATACAAGACAGAGTAGTAGTGATGATTCTAGCGATGAATCTGATGGAGAGGCAAATAAAAAGGTATGGATCGATTCTTATTGTTGCTTTCTTGATAATTCGTATACCTCTGTGTGTGCATAATGTGCTATTGTTGTAGAAGCTTATCTATCTCTTAGTACATAACTTTTTACTTACTCTAGTTGTAGTTCCTCTAGTCTCTTTCTAGTTTGTAGTTAATTTTTGTGTTATGATTATGACTTTCAGGCAATACCACCATCATCAACCGGGGGAACTAAGACACTCTTTATGGGCAATCTCGCATGCAATGTTGAAAAATCTGATATGTAAGTAGCACCAATTCCTCCTCCTCTCTCTTTCTTTGAGGAAAGATTTTCATGACCTGATAAAAATGTTATGGTCTATTTACAGCGAGAAGTTCTTTGAAACAGCTGGCAGAGTTGTTGATGTTCTATTGGTTACTAGTAAAAGAGATGGTAGTTTCATGAACTATGGCTATGCTGAGTTTTCTTCTTCTGAAGAAGCACAGAAGGTGAGAATAGTTCTTTTTTTTTTTCTTGTGAAAATTATAACTGGTTAAATTGAAAGTATGATCTCAATATAATCTTTTGTTTCTAGGCCCTTGTGGAATTTCAACGTAAAGAGTTACTGGGTCGCAAAATCCGTCTTGATGTGTCTGTTGATATGGGTCCCGATGGACGAGTACTACACACTCCTGATAGGTAATTGATTGTATTTTTTTGCCATATGTATTAAGAGACTATGGATGTTATATTTACCTATCTCCTGCAATGGATTTGCAGTACTTTCACCGGTGGATTCGATTGGCCTCCTTTCTGGTTAAGCAAACAAGACTGACACAGTAACTTTTGTTTTGAATGTAGTTGTTTGCATCCTCCAGTTATTTTGTTCTAGTTACTTTTCTCAAGAGTGAAAATTTTAAGTTAAAAGAAGCAATATCAAAAATTATAACCAAATTTTTGATTCTCCAATTTTGTCATCTCCCTTGTGGATTCCTTAAAATTCTTCCGATTTTGTCGCAAAACCTAAAAATAGCCAAAGAAACGAATCAGGAGGAAGTGAGAAAAAATGCCGTCGCAGATTCTCCAACAAATCTCACATCTTCCACCTAAATCTTCACCATCCACGGAAATGATGTTCAAGTCTTTGATTTACGATGATCCTTCTACGACCCTTCTTTCTTCTTCTTCTCGATTTGGTGATGACCATCACACCATTTCTTCTACCGTTAAGCCTCTCCTCTCCCGCTCTTCCAGCTACAACGGCGGCGTCACGGCGAAGAAGACGTCTTCTGGTGGTGGATTAACTGGTTGGTATCAGAATAGACGGCGACGATCTAACAGCGATAACTGTCTCTCTGCGTTTCCCGATGATACTAATGGAACCGACGGTGGTCAAACTACTATTGGTCAGGAGGTTGGCCACGCTGCTGCGGAGACGTTTTTGTTGACTCGTCTTTGTTTGAAGCTCCTTAGCTATCTTGGGTATCTATCTATCTATCCATTTCATATTTTAGATCCGTTATCTGTTACATTTGCTGAATCCAACGACATTGGCTCATAAAAAGGGATGATCTTTGGTTTGCAAGATTATTGATTTGATTGATTACTGATCAAAAACTATTATTCAGGGTAGGTTATAGATGGATTACAAGATTTATGGCACTTGGATGTTATGCATTTCTTCTAATGCCAGGCTTTATTCAAGGTTTGTTGACATCTACTAATTAGGGATCTATCTCTCTCTCTCTCTTTTTGAGATAGTAACTATAAGTTTCATTGCTAAAGGTTTGGACTTTACTTTGCAGTCGGATATTACTATTTCTTCTCTCCTTACGTTCGCAGAAGTATAGTTTATGGAGATCAACCAAGAAACAGGTCATAATTGTTTACTGGTTATTATTCGTTCTAATCATGTGTAGATTGCTCTAGAGACTAGTAGATGGTTTGTGTTTTGTTTGTTGATATAAGAGGTTTTTTGGTTTCTTTAGGCTTGACTTGTATCTACCTAAAAACTCTACCGGACCAAAACCAGTTGTGGCGTTTGTGACTGGTGGAGCCTGGATTATTGGGTGAGTATGATACCCAATGGACATTATTTTCATTCTACAGCATTTGAGGACGAGGAGAAAGAACTGCAAATATCTTACAGAAAGTCTTGTGTTGATACAGTTATAAGGCGTGGGGTTCTCTCTTAGGACAGCAGTTATCAGAAAGAGATATTATTGTGGCATGCATTGATTACAGGTAATTATGCATGCTTTGAGTTTTTTTTTTTCTGGCAGAATGAATGTGGTGGTTTCCTCTCATATTCCATCAGTTTTCATTTAGTGTTTCGCAGTCTCATTGGCAATATCTCCTCTTACACAGGAATTTTCCGCAGGGATCTATTAGTGACATGGTCAAGGATGCTTCTTCTGGCATCTCATTTGTTTGCAATCATATTGCTGAGTATGGAGGTGATCCAGACAGGTACTATTTTTGTCAACAATGCTTAGACATGGAAGTTCTTGAGTTTTAGATTTCTTGCTCACTGATTTCTGATCTTTTTCCTGTGTAGAATTTATCTGATGGGTCAGTCTGCTGGTGCACATATTGCAGCTTGCACCATTGTAGAGCAGGTCATTAAAGAGTCAGGGGAGGGGGACAGTGTCTCTTGGAGTAGTTCACAAATAAATGCTTATTTTGGTCTATCTGGAGGGTAAGCAAATTCTTTCTTGTGGTCCCAGAGTTCGAATAACAGTTATTAGGACAATGGCACTACATTAGAATGCAGATTTCTGTCAAGAACTTGATAAAAACAAGTTTCTTTAGTTGCCTTAGTATACATATATGTGTAACTCCAGTTTTTATCTAGCCACCAAGGTCTTTTGTAGAAATGCTAGGCAATTCGTAGAACCCTGAAGAAATGGTCAAATATTAGCGTAACGAAGCAAGTAGATTCCTGCCTTCTATCCAACTATAGCCACATAAATTTTGAGTGTAAGGCCTCCCATCATATGTTTGGCTATTCTTAACAAACTTTGTGGTCGTGATCTACAGATACAACCTTTTAAGCCTTGTGGACCACTTCCATAGCAGGGGGCTATACCGTTCCATCTTTCTGAGGTATAGCATTTTCTCTTTTCGAATCTTGGTATAGCTTACATTACTCACATTGGCCAGTAGAGCAGCCTGAAATTTTACGGTTTAACGTGTGACTTTTGTTTTTCCTCAGCATCATGGAAGGAGAGGAATCATTAAGGCAGTTTTCTCCTGAATTAGTAGTGCAAAACCCGAATCTCAAACACATCATTGATCGTCTCCCACCTTTTATTTTATTCCATGGTACTGATGACTACTCCATCCCTTCAGATGCAAGGTATGGTTAAAATTTTCGTAGCCTTGTGGGTATTTGTCTGTCTTATGTATATCAGAAGGTTAATATGATGATTGAACTTTTGTTACATAATCTATCCAGTAAATCTTTTGCGGAAACCCTCCAGAGGCTTGGGGCCAAAGCAAAAGTGATCCTTTACGAGGGGAAAACACACACGGATTTGTTTCTTCAGGTACAAAAGCCGGTCTTTTTGAGGTATGAATGTGGTCGTACAAGAACCTGAATTTTGATCTAGAAACTTGGTTATTTATGTTAGGATCCAATGAGAGGTGGAAAAGATGAGATGTTTGAAGATATAGTATCAGTGGTTCTGGGAGACAATCAAGAACTGATTGGTAAAAGTGTAGACAGAAGGCGTCTTGTACCTGAATTTATGTTGAAGTTGGCTCACTGGGTCAGTCCGTTCTAACTCCTACACTCTTATCTCCCAGAAGATCAGAGGAAGTACATTCTTTCTTCCAGTGATACAGACGGGTCAGTGTGCATATTACTTAACAAGGAAACAGATCCCACTATACTTTGACGATACAGATGATTTTGAACTTTGATGATGATGATGATGATATTGTATCCGGTTTGCAATATACTCTGATTATTTCGTCATTCCCTGTTTGTGTTATTTGTAGAACACTAAAAAAGTGCATTAAAGAAACAAGTCTTTATTGACTTGTCACATTAGACTGTCTTTGATGTTCTCCTTCTCTGATCATTTATCATTGGTTGCACCTATTTCTTGGCATCAGTTGACTTTTCTACGATATACAAAGTGCCAAACCAAACCAGTGACATTTAACAAAATAAGGTGAATTAAACAGTTGATTTATATTGATTATTACACTCTACTACTTCAGATCCAACGGTTTGAAGTACAGAATAGCAATAGAGGCAAACATGCAGATAGATGAAAAGATGAAAAGGAGTCGTATGGAGAGGTTTTCTGGGAGCAAAAAGTATAGTTCAAAACAAAGCAAAATCAAACCAAAGTGGGTTTTGATAGTGACTTAACCAGTGTTCCTCATTCCAGCTGCAATACCGTTAATGGTGATGAGCAATGCATCCCTGAGCTTGTTGTTGTCGTCATCACGTCTTAGCCTCTTGAGGATCTCTACCTGCAGCATGTTCATGGGGTTCAGATACGGAAGTCTACTCTCTATCAGCTTTTTCAGGCTCCGATTGTTCTCTGAGAGTTTTTCATGACCGCTTATCACAAGCACATACTTCTCAGTCGTCAGCAATTCCTTTCTGAGCTCACTACCAATTCCTCTTCTGTTCTCTGAGACAAGCTCTTCGTCGTAGTGTTTCGCTATTGGGATATCTGCTTTAGCTAACACCATCTCTATAAGGTCTATGGTTGACTGAAAGAAGGGCCATTCTTTGTACATTGCTTGGAGATCATCAGTGTGACCCTTCTCACAGACTCCTTTCAGACCAGCTCCTACACCGAGCCAAGCTGGAAGCACAAACCTTGTCTGTGTCCAGGCGAAAACCCAAGGGATAGCTCTGAGATGTCCAATCCCTGATGAGCTCTTTCTTCGTGTTGGCCGGCTTCCTATGTTGAGGAAACCGAGCTCGGCCTGAGGTGTTGCCTCTTGGAAGTAGGAGAGGAATTCTGGGTTTTCATAGACCGTGCTCCTATAGTTTTGGCAGCTGATGTTTGAGATATCTTCCATTAGGCTCCGCCATTTCTCTTCTCTTGGTGGCTGAGGAGGCTGCAATGTAGCAAGCAGCACTGCGGTTGTGTAAATCTCTAGCTGCCTAACAGCCGTCTGTGGTAGCCCAAACTTGGCTTGCACCATCTCGCCTTGCTCTGTGGAACGGAGAGTACCCTGCAAAGTCAATGCAAGACTGTACGTGAGGACTTTTGCTGAAAAGAGAAAGACTGTCCATATGGGTAATTAACTTACCATTACAGACCCTGGAGGTTGGGATTGTATGGCAAGATAAGTTGGGCCGCCACCTCGGCCAATACTCCCTCCTCGTCCATGAAATAAGGTAATTTTGATTCCAAATTCATTGCAAGCAGCCACAACATCCTCCTGGGCTTTGTAGAGTTCCCATGCTGCAGCAAATCGTCCAGCATCTTTCCCAGAATCCGAATATCCAACCATCACCTGCATATAAATAACGTTGCATTTCTTTCGAGACAGAGCATACTCTAAATTTAGAAATGGTTGAAATTTTAAGTATATCTACCTCTTGGTGGCCAGTGTGGTTCTTTTGGATGTGTTCTCTGTACCAATCGATTGATAGCAATTTTCTAATCACGGAGCCAGCGTCTCTTAAATCTTTCACCGTTTCAAAAAGAGGCACCACTCGCAGTCTATCATATAACAAAAATAAAATCAGCACACCAATAACTTATGCCATCAAAATATAAGAGACATAGACTTAACCTCCAGAAGAGGTCACCAGTATATGAAAGTATGCAGAGGGAAAGATGATTAACAATGAAGTATTCCTACAAGAAATTAAACTCACGTTCCAGCAGGACATGGCCTTCCCAGCTCACCACTGACGGCAAGACGAGCATCTTTCTGCAGAAGTTCCACAGCGAGGACATCACTTGCCTACAAGTAGCAAAACATCAATGTCATCAGCTACTCGTCCACAATAGCTTCAGCAAAGAAGTGACTGTGAAAGACTCAAAGCTGTCATACATTTGAGGCCATGGAAATCACGTAAGCTCCAAGTGATTCACTTCCTAGCTCAGCAGCAACCCGGAAGGTGTCTAGTACTTCTTTTACTTCAGGACCAACCTGAAAAGGTTCAATAGTTTCTTGATGGTGTTAAAACATAAAAGTACAATAGATATGATCAGAGATCACTTTTGTATCATCACACTGGCCTTCCTTAAGTAAACGCAGATTATTTTCATTGCAATTACTAATTATGAATTGGTCTATCAGTAAGATACGTTGCAATTACTAATTAAAATTCATAATTATTTTCAGAGACATGAGCCTAACATTAAAAGAAATTCAAAGTCAGTGTTTGCTGACCTCAATATTTGGAGGGACAAGGGGTCGTTTCCCTTTCAATTCTCTAGTCAAAAACTCTAGTTTCTTCTCTTCATTCCATTCACTATATGTGCCCATGTCCAAGTATGTCGTAATTGCATCCAAAGCTTCAGAATGCCTTGCAGCTTCCTGATTAATGAATCCTATATCAGACAGGTATCAAAAACAGAGAGCCAAAACAAGAAGGAGAACAACGCACCTGGCGCAAATCAAGTTTCATCAAAACCATGCCAAAGGTAGCAACTCTACGGATCAGATCGGAAAGCCGGCCATCAGCTAATACTCCGGCATCAGATGATTGCTGAGAAAAGAATGATTTTTACGTATTCAGTTCATGATTTTTAATGCAAAGACAATTTCGCATGAAGCAAGGTCTTACCAAAGATTCATAGCAGAGGAGTAGCGGTTCTAGAAGTTGGTCCGATGTTTCATAGTAATCCCAAGGATCATATTCACAAGGAAGACCCTCAAGAAGAAGTTCCAGAAGTCTCCGCGTCTTCAGAAGCTGTAATCACAGATCATTACGTGTAAGCATCATTTTACTCAAGATAATAGAATTTATCAAGATGGTTATAAATTTGTAATAGTGAGAAGATTGTAAATTAAGAACAAGTTGCTCAAAATAAATGCTCTGGCCAATATAGACATGAAGTCTTTCACTTTTTTGATGATGCTAAATCCGGCTCTTTACATGAGCTTAATGACAAAAAGTTTAGAAGGATCAGCACCTTTTCCTTTACTTCGCCAAGAACAATCCGATAAGGAGCACTTCCAGCCCGTTTGGGTGGAGTTGGTTCTAATAGCTTCTGAAAACTGGTCCTCCCATTCTGAGACTCCGCAAATAGTTTCTTCTGAAGAAGTTGAGAACTCGAGGAGGAAGAACCTCGCGGAGTAAGACTTTCCTGAGAGCCATTAGAGTTGACGGAAGTTCCGTTAGCTATCCTTATTTGCAAACTTTGGCCTGAGCCATTACTAGAAATTCCCTGAACATCCTATTTAAAGGAAGAAAATCAAACGAAATATCAAACACAGACAAACTCAGCCAAAGTTTATTTCAATACTGGATAAAACCATAAGTAACAAAACAAAATAGGCATATGTCAGAATCTTTAGAGCTATGCTTCACCTGACGATTAAGGGGCATATAATCTGTCACAGGAACTTCAAGTTTGGGATACTGTGATTCACCACATTCTGCAAGTAGGACATCGGAAACTTAGTAAGATGAGGCGTGAATATAGAAGAAAATCTGTACGCATGCTTGTATACCAGTGCATGAGGGAAGGTCAGCTCTAGGTGGAAGTTGGGTGGGTAGGGATAAGCCCTGCTGGCTTGGAAATTTTTGTTGGCTTCTACCAGCATTTGGACCCCAACTTTCGAGGTGATCTTGACCAGAAGCTTCTGAGGAGAAAAAATCACATCTTGAAGTTTTGTGTTCTCAAGAATCAAGAGAAAACTGAGACATGAGATGTCCCCCAGAAGCATACCTTTTTCAAGAATTTCATCTGCCAATCTGGACAATCTATCGCTGCATCGATTCATAGACAATTCAAATCTTAAGCTATCGATCTCTCTTATGTACAGATCAATAGCCATCCATCTAGACATGAGCGATACTTCTTTGGTGACCTGAAAATTTATTGATAAAAACCATGTGTGTTAGCAACTTAATACTAATATCTCTCTATACCAGCAAAATAATAATCCTATCTTAAAACAACGAAGAAATCCCAAGTAAAGCTCGCATTCTCATCTCACCCCTACATAAACTGATTATTCAGGGGGGAAGAAAATATATAGAAGGCTCACCTTTGCCGTGACATTTGGATTTCCATCTCTATCACCACCCATCCAGGAACCAAACTTTATTGGGGTGCAAGTTAATGGGAGTGGTTTCCCCGTGAGCTGAAGAGGACATAGAGAATATCATTGTGTCAGTATCAAGTCATTTTTTTTTTTGGGGGCAAATAAATCAGTATCAAGTCACTTTAGCATTCAAAATTAGCAATAAATGAGAAAAACAAGTAAAACCTTCTTCAAAGAACTGCTGACACGACGCAAGTAATGTGGTACAGCTTTCCAAAGAGATTGCTCAACAATGTTCAGACCTGACACAGGGGAATTACACATACTTGTAGCAAAACCTTGGTTTATCAAAGTAAAGTTCTAAGACATTTACAACCTTTTAATTAACATACCAGACCTAGCTTCATCAACAGGAGTAGGTTTCTGACGTCTAAGTTCATCAGTCTGCCACAGTGAAGTTATCTCCCTAACCTTTTAAACGAAATGAAACTATTAGCTGTACTGCTTCAGCATAGAAATTCTTGGGAATATATTTAGGAAGATAGTACCAGATCCTCAATAACCGTTTCTCGATCTTCAAGTCCAAGGTCTGGTCTATCGTTGTATTCTAGAAGATGCTGCAAGTAGTATTTTATTGCAATTCAAAAGTACAAAGACCATAAACCTAAGATTTCTTGCAACAAGTATAGCAATAAATGTCAGAATTAGCAACAACTTACAGCCATTCTAATATGTTTGTACTGCAAAGTTCGCCGATTGATTTGAGTGGGGTGCGCA